TTAGTAGAAGAGAAAGGAAATAGAAAAATTTCTTACCACTTTGGTTTACTAATAACTGCTTTTGGTTGTTGTTGTTGTTCCATGAGATGGAGGTAAAGCAGTTCAATATCTTCACTCCCACTACCCAGTACTGGGAATCAAACCCAAGGGTGCTTTCCACTGAGCTATGTCTCCAGCTCTTTTGTTTTTTATTTTGAGACAGAATCTCATTAAGTTGCCAGGGTTGGCCTCAAACTTGCAGTCCTGTTTCAGCCTCCTTCAGGTGTGTGCCATTGCACCTAACTGATATCACCACTTTTTAAATTAGTTAAACAGAGGGTCTGTTATCCCTACTTTTTAAGTGAGTGTAAGAGATATAATCTAGGTCATATGACAGGACAAAGAACTCAACCCCAGTATTGTGATTCTTTGTCTAGTGTTCTTGCAGCTACATATTCTGAATTTACACTTTATTCATTGAATTTAATCCTCCTTTTATTTAAAAAAAAAGAAAGCATACTTTCAAAGTGGATTTATAGTATATATACAGGTAAGCCTCCAAGAAAAGCTCTGTCAAGGAGGCAGAACCTGTGAATGTAGTAGGTGGAGCTCTGAGCAAATAAAAGTCTCATTTTGCTTGCTCAGGAATCTGTTGGTGTTGGAGGAGAAACAGAAGCAACAGTAGCAGAATAGTTTTCCTGCCATTCAGCATGTAGTTTTTGTCTACAAGGCCAATCTAAATAAATAAATTGTTGACTGAGCAGAGCGAACTCATGTCTGAGAGTTGGGGAAACATGGCTATTAAACAAGAAACTATGCTTCAGTTTGACTCTGCCGTTTGCCCTCCTTATGCTGTGGGCTAAGTGACTGTTAATTTACATCTTATCCATTTCCCCCTCATTTTTCTCTAACTGTAACAAGTCTGTTTTGCCTTTTCTGATGGATTTTACAAAGAAAGACTTTTTCTCAGTATTTGTCATCGTAAATTCTCATTGCTGCTGCTGCCCTCAAAAGGATTGTGTAAGTGAGGTGGGTAAGAATTTCCAAACTATATAAAGGGCATATTGTGGTCTCTTTGATGATATGTATAGAAAGTTTTAGTTAGAATACTGAAATTGTTAACTTCAGAATACTTTTAAAAATACTTAATGTTCTTTGAATGGTTAGGAAAAGTTTTACTTTAATCAAGAGATACTAAATGTTATATAACATATTTGAAACTTAAGCTTTTGATAACATTTATCTTATATCAATTCTTTCTGTACCCTTGATGGGGGTCACATTTGTTCATTATTTTAATACTCCATTTAATGTGCAGAAGTTACCTTCTTTCTATTTAAAGAGTAAATGATTTTATGTCAGCTGAAAATATCTCAAGTGTGTATGCATTAGATATTCAATACATACTTATTTAATGAAGAGAGATAAGCTACTGACCCTGTTCCCTGTACCCCATCCCCCAAAACAAAAGACATTGCTGCCTAAAGAGAGATCCTGTTTAGATTTCAAAAGTAAGACAAGTACATGTAGGGCCAGAGAGTTGCTGACTTAGAATGTGTCCCTAGTAAAGTTTAGTAGTTTTATTCTGTATAAGATTAGCCCAATTTATGTACCTTAGTATTCTTTCCAGTTTGTGTTTTCTAGTCTCATTCAGAATAGGTGGGTGATAGTTTGCTTTTACTGGTTAGAACAGGTCTGAATTGGGATAAATTGGGAAGTTAAAAGGGGGCGAGTGGCATTTGGAGGATTGTGGGGATTTAAACTTATCTTTGTTGAAGTACATAAAATAAAAGGAAGTAAAATGAAATTTTTATCATAAAATATTTTCTTTTTATTGGCTTGTTCTTTCCAGTGCTTCAAATCATGTTTTAGAATAAAATCAACAAACCTGGCATGGTGATGCACTCCTATAGTTCTAGCAATTCAGAAGGCTGAGGCAAAGGATCATAAGTTGGGCAATTTAGCAAAACCCTGTTTCCATAAATAAAAAGAACTAGGAATGTAGCTTAGTGGTAAAGTGCCCTTGGTTTCAATCACTAATACCTAAATAAATAAACTAGATCAACTTTTTAAAAAATCATCAATTATTAAAAATACATGAAGTTCTCCTTTCTTCAGAAAAAGTATGATGATTATACAAAAAATGTTATTGTATCTTTTTTTTAATATTTATTTTTTAGTTGTAGGTGGACCTAATATCTTTACTTTATTTTTATGTGGTGCTGAGGTTTGAACCCAGTGCCTTACATGTGCTAGGTGAGCACTCTGTCACTGATCCACAACCCCAGCCCTTGTATTATATGTGTATTTTCATCTTTCTGTTTTATTTTGTATAGTTCACTTCAGGGTCAGTGAAGTGTAGTATTCATTCTATACATTTTTCTTGAACATCTTTTAATATGCAATTTATAAACTCTTGCTTATAAAATTATTCAACAAACCTCTTCTAGGTTACTTATAATCCTGGTTTCTTGGTGGTAGCTGACTGGTAAAATTTTTTGTTAGATTTTTCAGTATCTTAAGTGGGTTGCAATAAGCAGTCTTAATATTTTTTTAAGGAAACAATGGCATCTAAATGTGTTGTATAGCATTGGTGTGGAATGGTCTATACTTAAATTGTGCTAGAGGCAAAAAAAAAGCATAAACCTCTTAGATTTGAGGTTATATTATGCAGTTATTGTTTTTGCTTATCTTCTACATAGTGTATTTAACTAGGATTCCTATTTGTAAATAGAAGTTTCTGTTTGTAAAGACATAAATATGTTTAAATGAATAGAGTTAACAAGAGGGTTATTTATTATTTAGGATAATCAAAGATAAAAACAGGTTCAAGATAATTTTTACTTCCTTTTAACCTTAAGTAAATCATCTTATCTTTGCTGATTGCCTTTAAACTCAAAGGTGGCATTGGGTCAGCAAATTTAATAATTCAAAGAACTTTCAACCTACATATGACTTTGGGTTCCTGCTTCTGTTAATTTAGATAGGTACGGTGGGCAGATAGTGTGGCCATTTTCAGGACTATTTCTGCATGTTCATTTCATACTAAAGTCTTCTGTTGTTAATTTATTTTGTCTTTACAACCTGCCTGTGCTAGAATGAAACAGAAGAATTGGTATAAGTTTGCTTTATTAAATTAATATGTTGAATTTTATTGTCGGTAGGCCAAATACATTCCCCTGAAATGTATGTGCTTATGGACGAATGGAAGACTTTTCCTCATCAGAGTCTATATTTTCTTAAGCCACTTTTTAAACTCTTTATATGCAAAGTTGAACTGTGTGCGACAGTCATTAAAAAACATGAAAACAAAATACCACCCCCCACCCCCACCCCACCCCTGCTACCAAAGAACTTTTAGATGGAACTTTCCTAAGAAAGAAAGTTAATAAGTTTGAAATACCAGGTTTGGTTTCTTAAAGCAGCCTTTAACTTCAGGAGCATACTTTTTTGTTTTCCTTAGAATTATGCTACAATATGTACAATTTGGAAAAACTTAAGAGCTGAATTTGGAAACAAAATTGAAGAAAATGCAAATAGTGATCTTTGTAGTCAATCTCAGAACCAGATTTTTTAGATACATGAATTTAACTAACTTTATGATCAGCTCTACTACAGTTCCTTGGTGTGAAAAGTTAGCCCTAGAGGTAAAATTCTTCAAATTAGGACTTTGGGATAACAGTGGATTATTGATGAGAATTACACAACTTTAGATACAACTTTGGTATTTAAGGACTTCAGCACTAACCATTTGGTGTATGGTTCCAGGGGATGCCTTAAACTGCTCATAGCATAGAACCCTATATATACTCACGCTTTTTCATACATACCTATGATAAAGTTTAATAAATTAGGCAAGCAAAAGATTAATAAAAACTAATAAATAGAACAATTTAACTATGCTCTAATAAAAGTTTAATGAATGTGGTCTCTCAAAAGATCAAGATAGTATTTTCAGATTGTAGTGGATTTTATGTATCAAAGTGAAAAGACAAAACCATGGAAAAGGGATACAATTGTATTTCATTTAGATTGAGCAATTATGTGTATTTCTGTGATTTACTAGATTGTCACTAATTTTGTTATACTATGTTTGTCCCTGAAATTATACAGATGATTAGAATTTATGCATATTCAGTAAGCTTTTCTAAACATTCCCATTTAGGTTATCTATGTATTTATAGACTTACAACACTGTTTAGTGTAACTACTTTAACTCATGATTTATGTAGTGGCTAGGATGAAATGGGAGCAAATAATAAGATATTTTTCCCCCTTCACCCCATTGCTCAGAGAGTAGTCTTTTGTTCTTAGTATCTTAGATGTATCTTCCATACAATGCTGAAAGCTTTATTTTCAAAGAACTTATACTTTAGGAAAGTTCTAAACTATTACTATGATACTACTCATTATAATATTTACATAGAAGAGTAGTAGTGAGTTTCTTCTAAAACTAATTATAATGCTTATCTTTCTTGTGGATCAGATATATTACTTTTCAACTTTATATTTTACTTACGCAAGACAGTTTGCTCTTTACTTATGTCAAACCAAGACAAACCATAACTCCTTCTAAACTAGTTGTTTTTAAAAAGAGTACTATAATAATATAATACCTGCCAAGACTATGTGAAATCATATACAAATGCATGTTCAGTGTTCAAAATAATTAAATACTGTATAGAGTCGTGATAGCCTGCAAGATTGAACAAAACATCTAACCAATTGGAACACTTAGCTTTCTTTTTAGCCAGTGATTTCCTTTACCCAAAGAAAAAGATGCTATTCTAGCCTAAATTCTTTCATTGCCACATAAAAAGTAAGTAAATGCACTCTCAAAACTTTCTTGTTGTTTTCTTCTGAGTAGCTAAATTGCCCACCTTTTTTCCTGTAGGCAAATCAGAAAAAAAGCCAGGATGGTAAGAGGGCAACCTAGTAGAATTTAAGTGGAAATTTTAAAACAAAATTCAAAGACCCTGCTGTCATTAATGTGTTTCTATGGCAATTTGTATGGTTTTCAGGGAGTGAAGCCAGCCAGTTTTGACAAAGTAGCAATTCCTGAAGTGAAGGAAATCATCGAAGGATGTATACGGCAAAACAAAGATGAACGGTAAGATTAGGTGTTGCTTAAACAGACGACTAAAACATAATGTTCTGATTATAAAACTTAATCTGAAGTGTATTTAATTCTTAGGATTAGTTTTTCCATTTATGCCATATAACCCTTTTTAAGATAGGGTTCTTTCTATTTAAGCTATTCAAATTCAATATGCGAGGACAGTTTACAAATACAAGCCAGGCTTAGTGGCACAGACCTGTAATCCCACCAAATCCAGAGGCTGAGGCAGGATCACAAGTTCCAGGCCAGGGCAACTTAGTGAAATCCTGTCTCAATGTAAAATTTAAAGGGGCTGGAGGTGAAGCGCTTGCCTAGCATGAGCAAGTTCCTGGGTTAAGTCCCTAATGTTGCCAAAAACAAAGGTTTAGTGGAGTTTTTAAGTAAATCAGAATCACCTTAAACATAGTTTAAACATTCTGTTAGAGTCACTTATAGCAAATAACTATACTGTACTAATGCAGCAAATCTGTTCCTTAGTCCTTTATCCATTGAATTCTAAACGATATAGAACAAAGACTTGGCACTTTAAAATCAACTCAACTATGCAGTGCTTGATTTCTTGGTATTGTGCCAGAATTAAAGAAGAGCAAAACATCAGAATTCCTTTGAGTAAAAAGAGAAGACTTTACTAAAGGCTTAGGAGGACATCTACCTTAGTCATTTGTACTAACATAGGACTTTTCTCAGAGGAGTGGCAAGTATCTGATCTCCCATGTAGCTGATTCATCACCCAGTAGGCATGACAAGGGTCCAATATCTGTTTTTGAAAACTGATCTACCTTCATCATCTCTCCATACCCACCAAAAAAGAAAAAGTATGACAGCCTAAGACAAATATCAATTGTAAATTGAACATAATCTACCTCCTGAAGAATGGGAGCAATCGGGTAAATCAACCAAATTAAAGAATTCCATATCTTTACTTTTCTAGTCTTATATTCTTTTTTATAACTTTGTTATTTGAAAGAATTTAACATGATCTTTAATACATTTTAATAGATATTTAGTTTAAGTTTCTGTTTTCATATTCACTGAGTCCTAAAATCTCTTTTAAAACCTTTTCAATATAAACAAAGAAATATTTGTTTCGMATCTTAAAACATATTACTCTATGTCTTTTCTGAATGGACTAGTTTATTGGATTACTGGTATTTGGAAACCATTTTATCTAAAGAAAATTGTTTCACAATCAGCTTTCTTGCTTGCCTAGTCCGCAAATTATTGAACAAGAAATTGGAAGAATTTGTTGAATAGGTAAAAAGTTGCTATAGTCAAAGGTACCAAACTAGAAATCAGAGAATTTTATTCTGGTTTTGATTATATCATTTACAACTTCTAGAACTGTGAGCAAGATTCTCAACTTCTGAGCCTTCATTCCTAATTGTCAGGAGATAATCTCTTATTGGATATTGGGCAAGGTTCTACAAAGGATTTTTTATTACTTATAAAATACTATATATATTGTTATTGATATTTTGAATCTTTGATATTCTGTGCATTATTTGCCATTGCCAGTATACTGTAACCAAAGGGGTTAGATAATTTGATTTTAAAATGATCACTCTCAGTTCTTTTGTTTATAAATCAGATTATTATGATGTCTTATCATTTAAGAGTACAAATCTGTAATCACCATTCAAATAGACTAATGGTTTTCTATTCAGTTTTTTTCTTATAAACAACAATAATCAGCCACATTTGAAAATTATTTTTTAAAATTAATGACATTCTGTTTTTCTTTGTTTTCTTTCTTTCTTTTTTTTTTTCTTTGGAAGATATTCCATCAAAGACCTCTTGAACCATGCCTTCTTCCAGGAGGAAACAGGGGTTCGGGTAGAATTAGCAGAAGAAGATGATGGAGAAAAAATAGCTATTAAATTATGGCTGCGTATTGAGGATATTAAGAAATTAAAGGGCAAGTACAAAGACAATGAAGCTATCGAGTTTTCCTTTGACTTGGAGAGAGATGTACCAGAAGATGTTGCTCAAGAAATGGTAAATTGGCGCTGATTGGCCATTTAAAAGTTAATGTAGATTTATATAAAGCAGTTTATGGAGTGTCATATGTGATGTATCTCATTAACATAAAATTATCTTGGCCCCAAATGCTATCTTTGAAATAATAGGATTTTCCTGATTTTTTTTCTTTAAATCCCTTTTTTGTACTTTTTGTGTTGTTACTGGTAATGGGTGTTGAACTTTATATAAAGTCCTTTTTTAAAAAGACGTTTTTATTTGAGGAAATTAGAGATGGATAAGAAAGAATGAACTAGAATATATTCTGAAGTCTATAAAGTTGAATGACTTCTAATTTGTTTAAGATCCTTCAGTTAGAATGAAAGTTATGTTTCTAAATATTGGATCAGTCATTAGATAAACCTTTACAAATAGACATAGGATTATAAACTATTTTTTGATATGAAAATAGTTTTTAAGATCAATTGTTAATAGGTATCCTGTGGTTGTATCCTTATTTGAAGTATGTCAAAAAGACTACTTTTCCAAGTAGAAACCCTTCAATTGAGGCTTGCTGCTTTGCCTAATGTCAGCAATTATCATGCAAAGAAACTCAATAAAATTTTTCTACTAGTGTTTGTAAGCATCTTTCAGTAGTAGTTACCTCTGAGAAAAGGAGTCAGTATGAAAGAGATAACTTAAGAGCTTTTTGGTCTTTTGAAAACCTTTAAATATTTGCCACATTTGTTTTATCTGTATAAGTGGTTGTCAGGTGAAAGGAAGTAATAGCAACACGGGTTAATAATTATTACATGTGAAATGGTAGTAGTGAATGGAAATGAATACCATACTTGTTTATTTTCCTCATTATTTTAATTATTGTAAGTACACCCACCTGTGAATTTCTACAAAGATGGTACATATTCTTTGAGTATGTACCATGATGGTGGGGGATGTATACCACAGATCAGTCATTTCACAGTTTGTTTAAGACTAGTACTGTAATTCCTCCTCCTTCTTATCCACTTTTCTACATCACAAATTTCATTTTATTTTGAGGTTGTTTTCTTTTGATAGCCTGTTTTTCTCTAACACCCTTTTTTTCCCTGCAGGTAGAATCTGGGTATGTCTGTGAAGGTGATCATAAGACCATGGCTAAAGCTATCAAAGACAGAGTGTCATTAATTAAGAGAAAACGAGAGCAGCGGCAGTTGGTTCGAGAAGAGCAAGAAAAGAGAAAACAGGAGGAGAGCAGTCTCAGACAGCAGGCTGAACAACAATCAAGTGTTCCTTCCCAGACAGGAATCAAGCAGGTCCCTTCTGCTAGCACTGGTATAACTACTGCTTCTGCCACTTCAGCTTCAGTATCTACACAAGTAGAACCTGAAGAGCCTGAGGCAGATCAACATCAACAACTACAGTACCAGCAACCTAGTATATCTGTATTATGTAAGTATTTTGGAAAACACACAAGATATACTAATGATACTCCTAATTGACTCTACCCCCATCCCCACCCCAGCAGCAAACCCTCCCATGTTGGAGATCAAACCCAAGGCCTCATGCATGTTAGGCAAGCTCTACCACTGAGCTATATTCCCAGCTCCTGACTTTTTACTTTAAGGTAGTTGTCATTTAGCTTCTCTTTTTATTTTTATGACTATGACTAATGGAATAGGATGGACATTGAGAAGATTGATTAGGGTATAAAATAATTTTAAAAGTTTCATTATCTTGGAGGTTCCAATTTCTAGATTTCCATATCTCAGTTTCTTAAAAAATTAAATTAAATTAATGAAGAATGAACAAGTTTAGCTACTTAAAATTGTGTTCTTCTGGTTTTGAGCTTTCAGGAAAGTTATATAGCATATAGACTGAAAACTAATGAGATTAGTAATCATTGATTGAAAATCCACAGGTCTCCATATATGAGACTGAAAATTTAGTTAATGTTCCATTTTCCCTTACTCTTCAGATAAAAGACATAAGAACTTGTCTTCCATATGGGTCTCATAAATTCAGAAGTTTACATAAAACTATGACTGCTATTCATTTTTTAATTTAGTGACGATTTCTGGAAACAGCCAATTCATTGTAATATGGTGAGACTAAAATGTGATACAAAAAATTTGAGCCTCCTTTTTATAATTTGTCTTTCTGTCTGTTTTTTGGTGATGTCTCACCTTCAGCTGATGGGACAGTTGACAGTGGTCAAGGATCTTCCGTCTTCACAGAATCTCGAGTGAGCAGTCAACAGACAGTTTCATATGGTTCCCAACATGAACAGGCACATTCTACTGGCACAGTCCCAGGGCATACAGCTTCCATTGCCCAAGCACAGTCTCAGACCCATGGAGTATACCCACCCTCAAGTATGGTAAGTAAATGCAAAAGAGAGAGTAATACTATAATGAAAGCCTGTAGAGAATCTGTTAAATTCTGAGTCTTTACTATCCAAATAGCAACTTGTCTAAAATAGAAAACATAAATGGTCTTAGTCAGCCCTCCATTTTCATGGGTTTCAATTGGTAGGTTAACTAATTAAAATGTTTTTTTTAAAAAAACCATTTGTCTCTATACTGGTGGGTCTTGGAACCAATCCCCTATAGATACTGAAGGATGACTGTTTTGAAAGGAAATTGGAGTAGATGAAGCAGGGTAAGATGTATACATTTATGTGTAAGAATTAGTTAAACTCCCTTCGTGAAGCATCTATGTATAAGATTTAGTCTGCATTTGATCAAAGGCAGTATTCTCAGCATTTAAGACTTAAAGCTATTCAAAGCAGTATAAGCTAAACATACAGATGGTTTGGGGGTGGGTGATGAGAGTTTTTCAAAAGCTTCTTTATGAAAATAACTACAAAGTATTTTCTATAAGATTTCTTACTATATAAAAACAGGTAAGAACTTCAAATCATTATAGAATGTTGCATGTGAGTACTCTAGAGTAAAGGAATCCTTTATTTATATTACCATTTAATTTAGCGCTTATGTTTAGTTCCTTATCAGTTGCAATGCGTGTTCCTGCCTTTAAAGTCTGTGTTGAACAAGTTTCTTTCCCAATGTTCATTTGCTTTTATCTTTATTTGGTATCTTGTTTTATACTGATTTATTTTCAGGATCAACTTACAGAGGGCATTTTCTAAAATAATTTATGCTTTGTGTCTGTGTATATATATACACACACCATTATCCACTCTTGTTTTTCATGTAGAGAATGTTAAAGTAGCTCATCAGATAATACCCCATTTCTTTGGTTGCCTCTCTTTGAAGTCTTCAGAGAAGAAAATAAAATACATTTATCTCCCTCAAAAAGGAATTGAGTGACTGGTCATTTTATAGCACTTATTTATCAAGATCTTTAAGCAGACTGATTTTTCCCCCTTCTTAGAAAGCTTTAATCTGAACTTTGTGGAATTCTTGCTCTTTATTAATTGAAAATCTTTCTTTGAAAACACTTCTGTTTACTCTGGTCATTTATGCTGCAGCTTGGAATAAAAGATGTTTATTTGTTTCAGTATCCATTGATCAGTCCTCTGGCTAGGTCTGAAGATGAATGGCCACAATAATGCAAAGAAAACTACTAATGTACTAATTTTTTAACAATTTTTAAAAAATAATTAGGGTAGAAGAACTTTTAAGACTACATAGAAGATATATTTCTGTGTTCTGGCCGATATTAACTATCAGCATTTCTTATCATTTTCTACTTTTTCTCTAATTGATTTTTTTCTGAACCATAATTCACAAACAAACAAACTTCAGTCTCTTGGCTTTTCTCATCCCAGAGTTCTGAACATTGGCCTCTTTTAGACAAGGAAATGCAATAATCATTTGTAATGATATTAAGCATTTAGACACTAACATGCTTTTATTCGCTTTTCCAAAAGCAGACTACTTCTTGCTTTTGAATGACAATAGTCTATGGAAGTATTATGATGATGTATTAAGGATTTGGGACTTTTAAGAAATTTTTATAATTTTTTTCCTGTCACTTTCCAGAAAGAATTTACCCTGGCATATAATAATGCATAAATTAAAAGTGAAATTTTAATAATTAAAAAGAGAAATAAGGATGGAAAAAAATGGAACCAGGAGTGAAACTAAATATAATCATCATGATATTTACATACTTGCTACTGGTAGGCCACAAATATGGCTTAAAGCAGCCAGTTTGGGAAAAGAAAATATAATTAGTTATATAGTTCACAATATCTAAAAGAATATTAACAAGCTTGCTCCAGACAGCCTTACAGTGTTAGACTTATTGCTTTCTATCTATATTAAACCTTTTCTGTTAAGGTGCCTCAAACTTTGTAAACCTAAGTTGAATCTCTGATATACCCAAAAAGAATTTTTACATTATTCTTTAGAAATTCAAATTGAAGATTTTTTTTCATTAACAACTTTAGTAAAAGTTCAAATAGTTCCTATGTCCATCCAGTTGTGAATTTCCTCCTGAAAGGTATACTTTTTCTAGTTAGATTGGCAAGTATACAAGTAAAATAAATATAATGTTGTAAGCCAAAAACTTTTTTAGTCTAATGCCTTCAGAAATGAGAATCCTTTTCTCAAGTTTCCACAGCTCCTGCAGAATAATCCAGACTTCAACTTTTTCAAATCTCGTGTTTTAAATTAATAGAATTTATTCTTGTCTAATCTTACTAAGTTTGCAGAAATTATAAACTGATATTGTTTTCCCTGTCTGCTGCCTTCAGTCCATCTTTCTTATTCATACATTCATAACAGTTGGTGTTATTTCATAATATTTAGGATAATAATTTCTTACTATTATTATTTATAAGAAATCTTGTACTTGACCCAACACAATAGAGAATAGTTGTCATCTGCCCCGTGTGCTTTGTGGAGTTCTCTCTCCACTAAAAAAAAATTGACTTTGTGGAATTGGAGAGGATGGAACATTTCCTTATGTTAACTGTTTCCCTGTTATCACTGTACATTTGGTTATTTTCTTTTTAAAGTACTGTGTTTTTCATGTGTGTTTGTTTTCTGTTTAGCCTCGTCGTGGCCGTAGCATGTCGGTTTGTGTTCCCCATCTTTCTGCTGTTCCCTTTTTATCCCGCATCTCTCCCAGTGCTCCTTCCACCCCACCACCAGTGTTGTCTGCACCTCTTTCTCCTTCCCTCCTTCGGACTGCCCCTGAGGAAACTTTTGCCGAAAAGCTTTCTAAAGCATTGGAGAGTGTCCTGCCTATGCACTCTGCCTCTCAGCGCAAGCATCGTCGCTCCAGCCTGCCTTCCCTCTTTGTCAGTACTGTATGTAACTGTAAACTTTCTGACAAATGAAAAATTATTACCAATGAATACATCCAGGCATCAACAATTTTAATAAAAATTAAATAACAGGACTAAACTATACTTTTGGTTATGTATTAGGATTTTAGGACATTAGTTATCCCCATAGGAAACATTTTTGTAATAAGGCTTTAAGGGAGAATAACAAGCAAGGAGACTATGAGACAGAATGCTAATAATATCCTTGGCATATATCAATATATGCTCAATAAAATTTAGCTTTTATTGTATTTTCTTCTCCCTCATTTACATAAAAGATTTTCATTTTCTTATCATAACAAATGGTATGTTTGTTATTTAATTTTAAATTGTTGACTTAAACAAAAGTAAATTGTTAAATGTTACCCAATTGCATTTTCTCCTCACTTTATTCTTTCTTTCTTTCTTTTTTTTAAATTTTTTTTAGTTGTAGGTGGACATAGTACCTTTGTTTTATTTATATGTGGTGCTGAGAATTGAACCTAGTGCCTCATACATGCTAGGCAAGTGCTCTACCACTGAGCTATAACCGCAGCTCTCTCATTTTATTCTTAAGAGTTGCTTACTAATGAAACTGGATAAGTCTTTTTTTTTTTTTTAAACCAAACTCAGTGAAGAATAATTGAGGAGAAAAGTGTTTGGTTTTAATGTGTTAAAAGAAATCTGAGTAAAAAATTAGTGAAATGATATGTCAGTAAACTAGGATTAAAAATTGTTCCCTCAGGGGAGTACTTATTTAGGGTGATTAGAGTGGGACCTTGACACCATTGAATGTTAAATTACATATGTAGTATATATGCCTTTCTTTGGCTTCACTGGTGTCTCTACAAGATCTATCTTTTTAAATTATTTTAATTGCTGTGGGACCTTGCTGCTGCTTTTCCAGAGAATGTAGTTAACATTCTGAACTAGTAACCTGAGAATCTTCGGATTTTTACTTTGGAGAATGCATAAGTTAACAAATTTTATGACTTTGGACACCTTAATAAACATCACGAAAATGAACATTCTGATTCAAAATAAAAATCCTCTCAGCTATGATGAACAGTTGTGCTTCTTTGCTAATAGGGGTCTTCTCTATTGAAAGAATGAGGTTGCTCTTATATAAAAGGAATCTATGATAGTGAATTACTCTAGTATGTATTATTTGCATTGGGAAAGCTAGGATTCTAAATTTAGAGTTTTAAATACAGAACTGCTTCTGGGAACAAAAAATGCTTTAAATCAAGTTTGGCTATCAATTGTATTTTCCATTTCACCTTGAATACTAGCCATCGAAATAAAAAATGCATCATATTCAGCTCTTACCAGTGATGAGAAAAGTGGAAATTTTGGTGATTTTTGCATCTGTAACTTTGGTCATGTATCAGAATTGCTAACTATGTCTAGTTTGGGGCAGATAAGAGAAAGACATTACTGTCATTGGGTTCATATTTTATTATCCACCAAAAATCTTTCTATGATTTATAGTTAAAAAAGTATGTTAGTTGATGAAAAGTAACATTGAACCCTCTAACATAGCACAGTATAAGAATATAAACTATATAAATACTTTAATGCAATAGATTAAATTGAAGCATGCTTTTTATATCTATAAAAATAGTGCCTTTTAGCACTTACTGTTTAACTGTTTCCATTGACATAGTTTTTAAGTCTTTAAGAATGAACATACTATGAATAAAGTAGAATAATCACTTAGAAAGTTTAATTTGTTCTTTTCGATTTGAGAGAGCAAAGTTATGGTAAAGCAGCTCTTATCTGATGCAAAGAGTCCCACAGGTTGATTTCTTTGACCCTGGATGTATTTAATGGGTTTTTACTATGCACATAGTTTCTGAAAGCAGTATTATTTATTATGTTTGATGTAACCATTTCATAGGGTTACACAGAACTATCCAGTTGTGCATGTCTGATGTAATTTCACATATGAATGTATGAATTACTTGTCTTATTCATGTTGATACAGCCTCAGTCCATGGCGCATCCGTGTGGGGGTACCCCAACATACCCAGAATCACAGATATTTTTCCCAACTATTCATGAACGTCCAGTTTCTTTTTCACCACCTCCCACCTATCCACCGAAAGTAGCCATTTCCCAGCGACGTAAGAGCACCTCCTTCCTGGAAGCCCAAACTCGCCATTTCCAACCCCTGCTGAGGACTGTTGGCCAAAATCTTCTTCCACCTGGTGGCAGCCCAACTAACTGGACACCAGAGGCTATAGTTATGTTGGGCACTACAGCCAGTAGAGTAACTGGAGATCTGTGTGACATACAGGTCCATCCTATGTTTGAATCATCTCAAGTTTGCAGTGACTATAGACCTGGACTAGTACTTCCAGAAGAAGCGCACTATTTTATTCCTCAGGAAGCAGTGTATGTAGCAGGGGTACATTACCAGGCCCAGGTGGCAGAACAGTATGAGGGCATTTCATACAACTCACCAGTACTCTCAAGTCCTATGAAACAGATACCTGAACAGAAGCCAGTACACGGGGTCCCTACATCAAGTTCTCTCTTTGAATTTCCATCTGGACAGGCTTTCCTGGTAGGACACCTTCAGAATTTAAGATTAGATTCTGGATTGAGTCCAGGATCTCCCCTCTCTAGTATTTCTGCACCTATCAGTACAGATGCTACATGTTTGAAATTTCACCCTGTCTTTGTTCCTCATTCTGCACCCGCTGTGTTAACTCATAGCAATGAGAGCAGAAGCAACTGTGTATTTGAATTTCATGCTCAAACATCAAGCTGTTCTTCAGGAGAAGGAGGTGGAATTTTACCTCAGCGTACTTACCGAAATCGACAGGTTGCAGTGGACTCAAATCAGGAAGAACCGCCTCCTCAGTCAGTTGGATTACATGGCTACCTACAGCCTGTGACTGAAGAACAGCGTAATTATCATACCCCAGAATTGACTGTTTCTGTGGTAGAGCCTATCGGACAGAACTGGCCAATAGGAAGCCCAGAGTATTCCAGTGATTCCTCACAAATCACTTCTTCAGATCCCAGTGATTTTCAGTCACCTCCCCCTACAGGGGGAACAGCTGCACCTTCTGGCTCTGACGTCTCATTACCCTTTATCCATCTGCCTCAGACAGTGTTACAAGAATCCCCACTTTTCTTCTGTTTCCCCCAAGGAACCACATCTCAGCAGGTCTTATCGGCCTCATTTTCTTCAGGAGGATCTTCACTCCATCCACAGGTTATAGGAAAACTTCCACAGTTCTTTTAAAGTACCCTGTTATGTACCATTACATTTAAATTTTCTATGCCTCGTTTTCCTGAATCATGAATTTATGAAGAATATTGTTTTTTGTTTTTCCTTTTCCTAATACAGTCTCCCCATCTCTTGAGGGCTATAAACTCCTTGCATTTACAAAATATGAACTGGAAGCTACCTGATTTGCCTGTACTATTTGCAGACCTTTGGAAAAGAGAACCCAAAAACTAGAATTTTAGTCACTCATCAAAATCAATGACTTTTATTCCTATATATGGTATTTTCCAAATAACAATGAAAATTCAGTTGTCTATAATGTAAGGTTGACTCAGCATTGATTATATAAGTATACTAAAGTATGAAGTATTACTTTCTTCCTCCAAACAATTTGAAAACAATGCAAAGGGGTAACTTTTCTGTAAAATGAAAAAAGAAATGGAATATAGTGAAAATATTTTTTAGAGTAGGATTAAGAATTAATCCATAGACTTTCTACTAGTGTGGAGAGTCTAAAAAGACAGCAAAAGGAAACCTTTTGGGAATTCAACTTAACAAAAGATGCCTTTTTGAAATGGCATCAAATAAGTCATTATGTATTATATATGCAAATTAAATAAATTTTAGCAACTAAGAATCTAGTGGGTGATGGGTAAATTTTTGTTGTTTTCAAAAATTTGTGATTAGACATCTTAGGCCCTTTTTTTTCCCCCCTCAATTAATTTAGTTATTCTTGTGTATGGGCATATATCCTGTCATACAAATAAATACAAAGCAACAGGCATATAGAATAAGCAAGTAGAGTCAGTAACTATTTCATATATTCTTTTGATATATTATCAAATTTATATAGCTTTGTAAATCTACATAGGAGACTATGTATTTATATATTTAAGGCATCATTTGAATCTCCTAAGTACTCCCCTTTTTTATTAAGTACTCCCCTTTTCATTAAGTGTACTATATGTTCTTTCTCTTTTATTCCTATATTCTTCCCCCATCAAAGACATAAATAACTCTAAAAATGTATATGAAATATCAATTTCTTAGAGTAGGAAGAAGCAGAAAGATCCAGAATCTTAATCTGTACTGCTTGGGCATGTTGGATATTCCCATCAGTACTCATGTTGTCAAACTATACTATAAATGTTAATGTATTATTAGCCATTCTTTCCATAGTAAATTTTCAAAAGTGAAATCATAAATTTATAAACATATTGCAAAAGAAATGAATGCTTGTAACAGTAAATTGCAGTGGAATGTGATATATTCCTAGAACCTTCAGAGAACGTCTTCTAAATTGAAATGAAAGACAAAAGTGGTAGCCTTTTCATTTCCTTAACCTACCCATGAGTATAGTCCTGTCTTTATTTCTCACCTTCTCATTTATTTTAATTTTAACTTCTTTATAATTGGAACATTCTAGTTAGGGTTTCTGAGACACCACTATTAACATTCTGGGTTGGATAGTTCTTTGTTTTGAGGGCAGTTTTTCTGTGCATTTTAGAATATTTAGCAGCATCCCTTCTTACGAGATGGCTATAGCCATCTCCCCCAGTTTTAACAAGAAATGATTCCAGATACTCCACATGTTCCCTGGGTGATGACTATTTTTATAGGTCTTAGCAGCTGATTATAAGAGCTTTTTTACATTTTTCCATAAAAGTTACTATGACACTGCAAGAAGTAGCAGAAGAACCTAATTAAAATTATCAAGTGATTTTAATTTTCTTTAAATGTTTAGATTAAAAATTGTTTCACACTGATAGTTTTACCACTTTTTCCTAGGGTGTGTGTGTGTATGTGTGTGTGTGTGTGTGTGTGTGTATGTGTGTTTCTAGCAATAATTTTGCTATGAATCTGAATATTCTAGTTGGCCAGAATTAAAACCTAAACAAGATAGGTTTTTACCATCAATGTTGTTCCTATGGGATGGGATCAAAAATGGACTATAATATGATCCTTTTCTAAACTTCTTATAAGATAGTCCAAAGACCTCTCCCGTACTTAATCAAGATATTGTTTCATTTTGATCAAGCAAACTTCTCAGGACCTTAAAATTATTGCAAAAGATTGATCTGTATACACTTGCATTAGGCCTTCTATAATTTACCATATTTACTTCTTTCCATCAGGCGCAGAGTCAGAGCCAGGGCCAACTATCTTCAAGTAGTTTAGCAGGGGTTCCATCTTCCCAGCCCATCCAACATCCTCAGCCGGTAAGAACAATGTATTGCTACATTTAATTAATTAGTAGTAAACAAAATAGTTTTACATCTTTTGTGTTTTAAATTCTTGATATGAATAACTTGCTAAGGTTTTTTTTTTTAAGTTTTTTTTTTTTTTTTTTTTTTTGTCAGTGGATCTTATTTGTTTGATTGTTGTTTTGTTTATATGTGGTGCTGAGGATCAAACCCTGGGCCTCATACATGCCAGGCAAGTGCTCTACCACTGAGCCAAAACTCCAGCCCCAAGTTGCTAAGCTTTTGAAAGGGAAATTAAAAAGTCATAGCATTTCTTTTTCTTTCTTTTTTTTTTTTTTAAGTTATAGGGAGACACAATATCTTTATTTTAGTTATTTATTTTTATGTGGTGCTGGGGATTGAACCCAATGCCTCACATGTGCAAGGCAAGTGCTTTGCCAGTGAGCCCAAGGCATAGCATTTCTTGTGTTGGGTAGCAGTTTAGGAAATCTTTGTTAAATGTGTCTTTTTTTTTTTTAATGAACCTTTATTTATGTATATGTAATGGTGAGAATTGAACCCAGTACTTCACACATGCTAGGCAAACATTCTATCCCTGAGCTATTACCCCAGCCCTTAAATGTACTTGTAAACAATTTAAAGTTTAAAACAGCTGTTACTACTTTATCTGCCTTCTTAAATGGTTCTTAACATAATTTGACAATACAAAAAGTATCAATTTGTTTCTGCTTATGTTTATGACTCATCCACAAATGAGCATTTTGTCATTTTTTTCCATTGTCCAGCAATGAAACAACTACTATAGGAAAATTGTTTTTCAAAAAAATACATTTTACTAAACTTCTGATTTGGGAGGTTTTGTTCCAGAACTCAAGATATTAGTGCAGTAGTAATATATTCAGCAGTAAAATTTTTATAATCTTAAAATTAAATGTCTGTAGTTCACCGCTAATATTTGTTGGTGGTAATTATTTGCAAGGAAATAGTGCTTTTTTGGCATAATTGAATATAGGTATTTCGAACAAAATTCATAGCACTCCATGTGTAATACAAACTTAATGATGAAGTATTTCATTAATAGTTTCCCAAGGGTAGTTTTTAACCACCAAATTATAAATTAGCTTCTGCTTCCATTAAATTTTGAAACAGTCTAAGGTTATACCTTAGAACATTTTGGGAGAAGTAGTACCTCTGAGCAAGTGAAAAGTACTTGGTGATCTGCTTTTGCATAGTCACATTTGCTAACAATCAAAACTAAAGTATACAAGAAAAAATCACTTTAACATATTTTGTACACAGGGAATAGATTGATTTGATTATACATGCATTTACTCAGTGACCAATACCTCTGTATCTTGTAGAAATTATGGATTGGGAATTACATGCTCTGTCTTACTCCCAACCTTTCTTCTAAACAGATTTCTATAATTGAAGCATTATTTCAAGTTTTTGTTAATATTGATTGTTTTAGGTGGACACAGTATCTTTATTTTATTTTTTTTATATGGTGCTGAGGATCAAACTCAGTGCCTTGTGCATGCTAGGCAAGCATTCTACCTCAGAGCCACAACCCCAGCCCCTAGAAATATATGATTCTGCAAAGATATCCAAAAAGCTGCATTTATCTGTTACTGAGGTTCCATATTTTAAAAGGAGTAAGAAGGGGGCTGGAGTTGTGGCTTAGTAGTAGAGCACTTCCCTAGCACATGTGAGGCAATGGGTTTGATCCTCAGCACCATATAAAAATAAATGAATAAATTAAAGGTATTGTGTTTATCTACAACTAAAAAAATTTTTTTTTTTACAAAGGAATAAGAAGGGCTGGGATTGCGGTTCAGTGGTAGAGTGCTTGCCTAGCACGTGTGAGGCACTAGGTTAGATCCTCAGCACCACATACAAACAAATAAATAAAATAAAGGTATTGTGTCCATCTACAACTAAAATTTTTTTTTAAAAAAAAAAGAAGGATAAAATCCTTATGTACTATGAAGATAGTCTGTTTTAAATGATTTATTTTATATATATATATATATTTTTTAATTGTTGTTTATTTTTATTTATTTGTTTTTAATGTGGTGATAGGGATTGAATMCAGGGCCTCATGCATGCTAGGTAAATAAATTGCTTTACCACTGAGCTATCTCCCCAGCACTAGAGTCTGTTTTAGGATGTAACTTTTGTTTTTATTCTGTCAAGCCCCAACCTCACCTTAGGAAACTATCTTTAGTTGTATTATAAAGTAAGGTAAGAAATGCACCTTAGCTGAAATTTATTTCTTGGATATCTGGAAAGTAATAAATACAGTACCAAAATAGCTTCCTCCTTCTGAAAACTTTGTGCCCATAAGCAACGTGGTGAATTATCTCACTAAATACTTTTTTCCATAGGGGCAACTATAGTCTTCAGGTATTCTTACTTTTCTGTTCAGCTGGGCATATGAACATTTTTTATCAAGCAACCACATTATGTGTGAGGCACTAGGTTCGATTCTTTAGCAGTACCACATTAAAACAAATAAAAGTATTTGTCCATCTATAACAATAACAAAAAAGAAGTTAATACAAAAATTGCATGAATATAAAACAAATGCAAAAAACTAATACTGTTCAAGCAGATGCTTGTTACTTTAAATTTTACCTCAAGACACAACTTGAAGGGAAAGTGTTGTACCAGAGAAAATTAATATTAATTTTAAAATTAATTTTCACTCCATTGAAAATTACATTTGAAGAGTTTAAGGAAGGGGAAACAATATTTCTAAATTAATATATCTACATAACTGATCTCATTTAAATATGTAAATAAATGAGTTAGATAATTGTAGATATTTCATTCACATTCCTTAAAATTTGAATATATTCAAGTCGAAAAAGTTTTTTTTTTCCAGCACCTCTCTTTTATTTATTTATTTTTTTAAAGTTGTAGATGGACACATTACATTTATTTGTTTGTTTGTGTGGTGCTGAGGATTCAAACCCAGGGCCTTACACATGCCAGGCAAGTGCTCTACCCTGAGCCACAACCCCCAACACAGCAACTCTCTTTCAATAAGAAAATGACTAAATTATCTTATATTCTGAGTTGCCTTAGAGTTGGCAACATGATATATCTTAGGTTCTGGGGGGAAGCTTTATATAATTTAACAGCCATTTGTTCCTGGTTGTTCTTAATGTTAAAGTAAGAATACACTACAAGGACAATAGAAATAAAGCAGCAGAGCATGGTGTTACATGCCTAGAATCCCAGTGACTCCGGAGGCTGAGGTAGAAGGATCACAAGTTTGAGGTCAGTCTTGGCAACTTAGCAAGACCCTCAGCAAGTTAGCAAGACACTGTCCCAAAATAAAAAATAAAAAGGACTGGGGATATATAGGTCAGTGATAAGCATTACTGGGTTCAATCTGTAGTACCAATAAATAGATAGGAATAAAGCAAACATGACTGCTACCACTGTTATTTCAGTAGTTTGGTGATAATTTGGTAATTTCAAAGAAGTAAGGATATACTAAATGTCAAAATGCATTCTACTGTAAAATAAATAAATAAATTTTTTAAATAAAGGAACAAGGAATAAAAATACGAACAAAAAAAAAAAACTACTGTAGATTATCACCTAACAAAATTCAAGACACCCACTAAGGTAGCCACATACATAATAAATACACAAATTAATATTTTATCGTATGAGCAATAACCATTTATTTGTATGGATATATGAGGACAAATAGAGAACTGTTGTTTGCAACATTATTTTCAAGTAGCAAAAAAGAAAAAATCGAAACAACCAAAATGTTCATTAACAGATTATTGTTTATAAACAGTATGGATTTGTATATTAAAAGAAAAAATTAAATTTGTTATGTTTACTATTACTACAAAGCCTTGGAAGTTATACAGTTCAGATTTTTTGTTCTCAGATTTAGCTCTTCTGAATGCTTTATCATTSAGCTACATCCTACATCCCCAGTCCTTTTTATTGTTTATTTTGATACAGAGTCTTCTGTGTCGCCCAGACTGGACTTGAACTTATGATCCCATTTCCCCAGCCTCCCAAGTTACTGAGATCATAGGTGTGTGCCACCAGCAAAGTTCAGATTTTTATTAGGCAAAGGGGGGCACTAATTTTAGAGATAAGTTCTGTTTTGTTTGCTTGATTTATTATAAAATTTAGTATTGGGCTAAAATTACATGTACAGGCCTTGTATATGGTTAATTCCCAGATGTCATTTCCCTTTGCCCCACATTGAGGTATAGCATTGTTTTCAAGAAAAGGAAACTTCATATTTATAATAAATGAGTAGTCTGAGGTATTATAGCTAGTAAATGGTAAAACTAAAATTTGAAACTGTCTCATTCAAAACTCTATGCTTTTCTCACTGTTTTGTAGTTGTAATCAGATTATATAATCCATAAAATAGACTAAAAGAGATTAAAGTAGGAGACTAGATGAGTCCACTGAAGGAGCCTAAGTGAGACCTCATATCAAAAGAAAAGGGGTGCAAATGTGGGGTGGGGTAAAGAGCTATTTGGATATAGTGTCTAAACATCTTTGTAAAGACCTACTGTTGGAGTGTGGGAGGTGTTGGGTAAACAACCAATGGTTTCTGAAGTTTGGAATATTGGTTAATTTTTCCTAATGATACTATCAGAAAGAATATCAGAAGAAAAACATGTAAGAGAAATTGATGAATTTGGTTATTATGTTTTAATTACTAAAATTATTATTAACAGATACTGAGGGCTTTAGTTAATATACCTCTTAGAAACATGATATGTTCCAATGATTTGAAATAAAATGGAATCATTAGTTGGACACAGTGGTGCACTACTGCATTACCAGCTCATGGGAGATTGAGATGCGGGGAGCACATGACTTCAGGAGTTTCAGACTGGCCCAGACAACAAAGTAAGACCCCAACCTCCCTCCCCCCTAAAAAGAACTGAATCATCCTATTTTATTCCTAACAGCAGGGAATACAACAGACAGCCCCTCCTCAACAGACAGTACAGTATTCACTTCCACAAACAACAGCCTCCACTGAGGCCACTACTGCACAGCCAGTGAGTCAACCTCAAGCTCCACAGGTCTTGCCTCAAGTGTCAGCTGGAAAACAGGTAAACTCTCAATTTCTAAAAAGATACTAAAAAGGATCTACATGTAACTTGTCCTTTCAAATAGGTAGACTTCCATCCTTTATAATAGTGAAATATCCATTGAAGTTGGTTAATCTCAGTGCAATAATGGAGTAAAAATTTGCTCTCTTTGCACATATGCATCATAAATGGATATATATATACTGACAGCAGTGACAGGTTTATCAGTATAGAGTTACAGGTGTTAAAACCTAACAGGTAGCTGGTGTGGTAGTGAATGCCTGTAATCCCAGCTACTCAGGAGGCTGAGGCAGGAGGATCAAAGTTCAAGACCAGATAGGATACTGTCTCAAAATATATTTTTTTTTTTTTTTAAAAAAAAAGCACTGGGGATGTAGCTTATTGGTGGAATGTTTGCCTCACATGTGCAAGACCCTGGATTCAGTCCCCATTAACACACACACATATATACATACACACACACACACATACACAATCCTAATGGTTTAAATAAAAATGCTGGTAACTGAACCTGTGCCATTCTCTAGAAATATGTCAGCTATATCTAATATTCAGATATATCTAGTATTCTAGGTATATCTGGTATTTGCAATTATGCTTTGTTTTCAGGTGGATTTGTAAAAAACTTTCTCCCTTATTGCCTTTTGACAGTAAGTTATAAAAGCTCCTTACATGAAATGATGCATTTTTTTCTTCTAAGTTGTCCTTCTAATCATTTGAAAAGTACCTTGTAGAAGGTATGCTCTTCTGAATGGCCTTTCTTCATCTGTATCATAGATACGGTTTTGTTTGTACCCTTTTGCTTATTTGTGCACAGTGTATTGTTACTGTCATATTTCATCATATCTGAGATACTATCTATATAAAATGCACCATTATTTTAATGAATCACTGAGTACATACCATCAACACATCAACAGCTGTAAGATATATCCAAATTTTTCAAATGTTAAAATGACCAGGTAGTAGAGAAGGGTTATTTTGTCCTAGAATCAGTGAAATATATTAATTATACCTATTTTCATAGAGCTGCTAGACTTTTGTAGAAATAATATGGATACAGTCTAAATCACTGGGAAGAAACTTGTTTCAAACTTCATTAGCTACTTCAATAGCAATTCTAGATTTAGGGGCCGAAAACATGCCAATGGATTATGGTATGCAAAATATCTGCCAATAAACCTATTAAAAACAACAAAACCCTTGCCTATGGAAAGGTTTATTTTTTATAGTCAGTGATGAAACATTACCAAATTTTTCTATAGTGAAAATTTGGAACAGTAACCAGTTTATTATCCTTTTTGTATCCCTGCTATTCTTTTTTCCCTGTTGTAATGTGGCATATTAACTTAAACTAATGTATGCAGGGTTTTGTTTGTTTGCTTCCCTCTTTTTGGCTAATAAACAAATCTTGCTTTCAGCAGCCTTGCTTAAAAAAAAAAAAAAAAAAAAAAAGTCTTGTCTGTTTTGTTTTTCTTTACTTTCTCAGCTTCCAGTTTCCCAGCCAGTATCAACTATCCAAGGCGAATCTCAGATCCCAGTTGCATCACAATCCTCAGTTGTTCCAGTCCACTCTGGTGCTCATTTCCTTCCTATGGGACAGCCACTCCCCACTTCCTTACTCCCACAGTACCCTGTCTCTCAAATTCCCCTATCAACTCCTCATGTGTCTACAGCTCAGACAGGTTTCTCATCCCTTCCCATTACAATGGCAGCTGGCGTTAATCAGCCTCTGCTCACCTTGGCTTCATCTGCTACAGCAGCTGCGATCCCAGGGGGATCAACTGTGGTTCCTAGTCAGCTTCCAACCCTTCTGCAGCCTGTGACTCAGCTGCCAAGTCAGGTTCACCCACAGCTTCTACAACCAGCAGTTCAGTCCATGGGGATACCAGCTAACCTTGGACAAGCTGCTGAGGTTTCGCTTCCCTCTGGAGATGTTCTATACCAGGTACTGTGTTAGCTAGTAAAAGAGGAGAACATTGGAGGGTTTGATTTTAATAAGACAATCAAAAACCTAAAAATGTAGTAGTTTAGTATCAGAAGAACAGTAACAAAGGTTGCTGATCTTAACTAGAGAAGCTAAAAGAGTAAAATTCCAAGAAAAAGTAGAGTGATGATGTTTGATGACCTCCTTACCCTTTTTTTTTTAAAAGACACAACCTGGGAGAAAAATGGTTCAATATTCAGTGTAAGCACACCAGGCTGTATGTGGGTGTATATATATGTATATGTATATATAGATGGAATAAGAGTTGGCAATATGGTATCAACAAAAAAAACTTCAGAGTTTAGATTTAAAAGATGAACATTCCATATATGACTGGAATGGCTAATACTAGGAGGAGTTTGCATTCTTCCATGTAAGATTTGCTAAAAAGTAGATATATTTATTTCTAGAAGGAATTAAGTTTATTATAATTCCTATTTAAATAATCTCCAACAGGGGAAAACCAGCAATTTAAAATATGATATGTAGAATGCTGGCTCCCAAAATGGAACCAGTATACCATTTCATTTCAAGAATAATCTTTAGATTATTAGTAAGAGAACGGGCTACTCTTCTTTGCTGTATGCTTCCTGCTACCCCCCCCCCCCCCCCCTTTTTTTTTTTTTGCATGTTTTGCTGATTTGCTAATTTGATGCCCCAACCTGCACTAACTCACCTTCCTCATTTCTATCACAGGGCTTCCCACCTCGACTGCCACCACAATACCCAGGAGATTCAAATATTACTCCCTCTTCCAACGTGGCTTCTGTTTGCATCCATTCTACAGTCCTATCCCCTCCCATGCCTACAGAAGCATTGGCTACACCAGGTTATTTTCCTACAGTGGTGCAGCCTTATGTGGAATCAAATCTTTTGGTTCCTGTGGGCGGTATAGGAGGACAGGTTCAAGTGTCCCAGCCAGCAGTGAGTTTAGCACAACAATCCCCCACTACATCCTCCCAGCAAGCAGTTCTGGAGGTAAATGGAATTATTGCATGTTTATACATAAAGCATATATACTATGGGATAAAAATGACAAAGGAGAAACAGGCTTCCCTGGTTAAGAACTCATTTGGAGACCATGTCAAACTAACTTCTGAATGACTTTTTCTTACAGCAGAATGAAATGCCAATGTGGGGGCCTTGTTGCCACTGGCTGTTCTGTTGGGAAGTGAGTGTGCCTTGGAGAAGATTAACCCTATTATAGTACTTCACTTCTCTAGCTAGTACTTTAGCCATTATTCTTGTCCTTTCACAAACTCATACCATTGGCAGTCATAAGAATATCTTATCCTACTGTGCTCTCAGCAATCATTTTTGCCCTACTAGGAAAAAAAGGTCTGAGTTTATCTTTGCACTTTGCTCTGCCTGCCCTATTGCACACTTTTGGTAAGATGCTGGCTGCATGGCAAGTTGTAGTTTCACATTGCCTAGCAAATAGGTTGGCTGACTTCACACCATGCAGTCTTTATGAGAGACTAGCTTTAGAAACTTCCTTTGGAATTTTAAGATCACTATCTGTAGATGCTGAATATTAAGAACTCCTAGTAAATTTACTGCTTCTAGGATATAGGGGAGGGATAAGAGGAAATAAAGGGATCTTATCGCGATCATTTATCATGATAAATATGTTACCACCAAGATTTGAATTATCCTTTCCATTCACAGAGTACTCAGGGAGTCTCTCAGGTTGCTCCTCCAGAGCCAGTTCCAGTAGCACAGTCACAACCAACCCAACCTGTCACTTTGGTGTCCTCTATAGACAGGTAAAATCATAATTCTCTTTTGACTTGTAGATAGGATAGTATAAAACATCAAAATATCAAACCCTAAAATCTCATATTGAAAATGGAACTTTTTCTTTTTCAAAGTGCACACTCAGATGTTGCTTCAGGTATGAGTGATGGCAATGAGAATGCCCCATCATCCAGTGGAAGGCATGAAGGAAGAACAGCAAAACGGCATTATCGAAAATCTGTAAGAAGTCGCTCTCGTCATGAAAAGACTTCACGCCCAAAATTGAGAATTTTAAATGTAGGTATCGATGACTTTGTGAACTTAGTACAGAGAATAGTTTTTGAAATCAGAACCATTCATTTCATAAAATAAAGATACCTTATCTTTGCACCATATGTAATTTATATAGCCCTTTTTTTTCATTTAATTCATGCAATTCTTTTTGAGTATCACGTTCTTCAGGAAGTATAGTTTACAAATAATCTGTAATAGAGACAGCAACTAATATCATTGAAATAATTCTTAAGGCTTAGGGAAAAGAATAGAGTGAAAAAGACTTTATGTTCCTTTCAGACTCAGCAGTGGAAGATAAACAAGTAGCTCAAAGACTGACATCACCTTATAGTATAGGTRTTCTACCAGTTCAAGTATTGGTGCTTCAAGTTACAATATTAATACCATGCTTCCTCAGACATAAATATGAGCATTAGTCTGAATGACTTTTTCTCGGTGTCAGTAATAAAGCCAAGTATAGTCTTCAGAAATGAAGTATCTTTTCTTTTCAGGTTTCAAACAAAGGAGACCGGGTAGTAGAATGTCAATTAGAGACTCATAATCGGAAAATGGTTACATTCAAATTTGATCTAGATGGTGACAACCCCGAGGAGATAGCAACAATTATGGTATGTCTGCATATGGAGTTCCAAATTTTCCCCTATTACTTCATCTAAATATCCATTGCCCTAGGCAACTATCCAATATTTGTAATTCATGTTTTATAGTTCAGTATTTCATTGGAATATAACCAGCACACCTAACCTGTGATTGTGATATTTTTGTGTAGAATCTGTAATTATTCACCTTTCAGTATTAAGCATTGAAGTTCTTAAATAGGAAAGAGCTGCCAGGCACTGTGGCCAAGGCAGGAGAATTGCAAGGTTGAGGCCAGCCTGGGCAATTTAGTGAGATGCTACCATAAAATAAAATGAAATGAAATGTAAAGTAGCAGAAAAGTACAAATAAAGTAAAATAAAATATAAAAAGGGGACTGGAGCCTGATGTGGTGGCTCATGCCTATAATTCCAACAAAGCTGGGGCAGGAGGATCACAAGTTCAAAGTCAGCCCCAGCAACTTAGAAAGACCCTGTCTCAGAATTTTAAAAAATAGAAATAAAAAGGGCTGGGGATGTGGTTAAGTGCCTGGGTTCAATCCCTGGGACCAAAAAAAAAAAAAAAAGAGGACTGGCAATATAGCTCAGTGGTAGAGCGCTTGCCCAGCACATGTGAATCACTGGGTTTGATCATTAGCAGCACAAAAAGAAAAAAGGATGGAAGGGCTAACTTAAATACCAAATAAATAATACACTATATATGCAGATGGGATAAAAATCTTGTGGTAGTTGAATGACCTAAAGCTTCAGAAATGTTATATTGATCAGAAGGACATCATTTGTTTTACAGGTGAACAATGACTTTATTCTAGCAATAGAGAGAGAGTCATTTGTGGATCAAGTGCGGGAAATTATTGAAAAAGCTGATGAAATGCTTAGTGAGGATGTCAGTGTGGAACCGGAGGGTGACCAGGGAATGGAAAGTCTGCAGGGAAAGGACGACTATGGTTTTTCAGGTTCTCAGGTAGGTTCACCAATCACATAGTAAAGCTTTGCTTATATAAAATACATCTGTAGTACTAAATTTGCCATGCAAAATGCCTACTGATATCACATTGTGACTGAGAATAAGCATTCATGTTCATTTCACATGGTGATTTGCTTTGTCTAATTGAGAGTACATTTGAGAATGAACTTACTTTTAGTTTGTTTGGTTTTGTTATTTTAGAAATTGGAAGGAGAATTCAAACAACCAGTTCCCACATCTTCCATGCCACAGCAAATCGGTAAATTTCTTCTTTCCTCATTTGTTTTCTGCCTTTAACTTAAGAAGTTGTATGTGCCAATAATGAAATATTAAAGTTTCATGTGGTTGAGTTATATAACAAAAAATGCAATTAAGTGATTTGTTTTTATTCAGGTGTTCCTACCAGTTCTTTAACTCAAGTTGTTCATTCTGCTGGAAGACGGTTTATAGTGAGTCCTGTGCCAGAAAGTAGATTACGAGAATCCAAAGTTTTCACCAGTGAAATATCAGACACAGGTGAGGATTGATTCTGCCACATATTTAATAACATAAATCCTATAGCATCTCTGCTACGATGGAAGCTTGGTCATCAAACAGTAGCTAATGATGACACAGATAATAAAAACAAGTAGAAAATAGAGGTTTTAAACAGCAGATAAACATAAGGAGTAGGGAACTATTTAAATAATATGATTAAAGAAAAAGCCAGAAAGGATAGCCATATTAGATGCAGCCTATGTATAATTCTTTATTGTGTTTGTTTCTTTTTGTTTGTTTGTTTGTTTTTAGAAATTATGTATGTTTTCAGAGTACTCCATGTTTCTTTTCTGGAAATAGATATTCACTCATATAAGCTGACTATTTGAACAAACTGCTAGTCAATTTTGCAGTTTTAGAACTTGTCATTTTCTTGGGAGAAATATTAAACCTTCTTGATAACATGGCATTGTTGGTGATCAAAAAATAGGTTGTTAGAACAATGTTTAAATCCTTCCTTTTATATAAAGGACTATAAATATAACCAGTATTTTTGTTTTCCTTTGCAGTTGCTCCCTCTATACCTCAGGGCCCTGGAATGAATTTGTCTCACTCTGCTTCATCCCTTAGTCTCCAGAAGGCCTTTTCTGAACTTAGACATGCCCAAATGACTGAAGGACCCAACACGGCACCTCCAAACTTTAGTCACACAGGACCAACATTTCCTCCTTTCTTGGGTAGCATTGCCGGAGGCCCAACCACAGCAGCAGCCACACCTTCAGTATCAGTTCCTGTATCAAGCAGCTCTCTTAATGACATTTCCACATCAGTTATTCAGGCTGAGGTTACAGTACCCACTGAAAAAGGGATTACTGGAGTTGCCACCAGCACAGGTGTGGTTATGTCAAGCTGTCTTCCTGTACCACCGGTGTCTGAGTCACCAGTACTTGCCAGTGTGGGTTCAAGTGTCACAATACCTGCAGTTGTCTCAATGTCCACAACATCCCAGCCAGTACAGGCCCCCACATCTGGGAGCATTGTTTCTAGTACAGGCGCTTTTCCTTCTATGACAGTTTTAACAGCTTTAACCTCTGCAGTTGCTGCCCCAGGTGCTAAGCCTCCAGCTGTGTTATCTCAGCAGACAGCAAGCACTACTGGGGTAGCCACAGTAACATCAGTTTCTGCCTCCACTCCATTCCCAACCATAGCTTCACAGCCATCCCTTCAGCTTAGTAGCAGCACCTCTGCCCCTACTCTAGCTGAAACAGTGGTGGTTAGTGCACACTCACTGGACAAAACATCTCATAGCAGTACAACTGGATTAGCTTTGTCTCTCTCTGCACCATCTTCTTCCTCTCCTGGAGTAGGAGTGGCTAGTTCTGTTTCTCAGCCTGGTGGAGTGCATCCTTTAGTCATCCCATCAGTGATAGCTTCTACTCCTGTCTTTCCCCAAGCAGTAGGACCTACTTCTACACCTTTGTTACCCCAGGTACCCAGTATCCCACCCTTGGTACAACCTGTTGCCAATGTGCCTGCTGTACAGCAGACTCTCATTCATAGTCAGCCTCAACCAGCTTTGCTTCCTAACCAACCCCACACTCACTGTCCAGAAGTAGATGCTGATAACCAACCCAAAGCCCCTGGAATTGATGACATAAAGACTCTGGAGGAAAAGCTGCGGTCTCTCTTTAGTGAACACAGCTCTTCTGGAGCTCAGCATGCCTCTGTCTCACTAGAGACGTCACTAGTAGTAGAGACCACAATCACACCAGGCATCCCAACCACTGCTGTTGCACCAAGCAAACTCATGACTTCCACTACGAGTACTTGCTTACCACCAACAAATTTGCCATTAGGAACAGCTGGTTTGTCAGTCATGTCAGTGGCCACACCTGGGCAAGTTTCTACCCCAGGCAGCTATGTTTCAGCCCCAGTCAGCACTACATCAGGAATGAAACCTGGAACTGCTCCCTCAAAGCCACCTTTAACTAAGGCTCCGGTAAGGTTCTTGTGAAACTATTATTAGATAAGTAAGATCACATTCGTGCATTTTTCAACTTGGCCTTGCAAATTAATAATGTAGTTACGAAGCCTTGAAGGTTATAAATGTAGTGGTTGTTCAGTCTTAAACAAATTGACAGCAACTTTAGGACATGAACACAAAGATTTTTCCCTTTTTTGAAATGTATATTATTATCAGGTAAAATGTAGACATTTCTCCTATTTCCCAAAGGGGAAATAAAGGAATCTATCAAAAAAATATGCATAGTAATAGTAGTTTGCCACTTTGTTTCAATTGAGAATAAAGGAAATTTTCTGCTTTCCATGTAAGTACAATTTGAGGTTCATAAAAACTGAAAGTGATAAAAGAGGAATTAGTCTAATCCTAGGAATAAAATAACTAAACTGTATTTTTTAATTCTTCTGTGGCAGATTTCCTCTGATTTTCCCATCTTCAGCATTGCTGATCTTTTTTAAAAGTAACAAGGCTATATTGTGGCTACTGTATTCTATACTTCAGCTATCTTTCTGCATTGCTGTTGCTGTGAAACTCTTTGCAGTGGGGTAGTACAGATATTTCTAAACTTAAAATAGGGTTACATACCCATAAACCCATCCTAAAATTGAAAATATAAAGTCAAAAATGCATTTAATATACCTACCTAAACATTGTAGCTTAGGAACACAAACACTGTAAAATATTGGTTGTTTACCCTTGTGATGTCATGATTAAAAGAGCTGTGTCTCACTACTGCTGATTAGCATCATAAGAGAGTATCGTCCCCCATTTTGGTAGCCTGGGAATAGATCAAAATTCACATGGTGGTAAATGCCTGTTGTCCCAGCTACTCAGGAAACCAAAGTGGGAGGATCACTTGATCCCAAGGGTTGAAGATCAACCTACTAGTCTGCATAATGAGACCCTATCCCCCCCACAAAAAAAAAAAAAAAATTCCAGGTGCAGTGGCATGCACCTGAAATCCCAGCAACTCAGGCTGCTGAGACAGGAGGATCACAAGTTCAAGGCCAGCCTGGGTAATTTAGCAAGGCATTGTCTCAAAATGAAAATGGCTCTGGGGATGAAGCTCAGTGGTAAAGCATCCCTGGGTTCAATGGTCAGTACCAAAAAGATAAAGAAAAAAATTTCAATGTACAATTTCTACTAAAGGCATATAATTTTTGTACTGTTGTAAGTCAAAAAAAAATATGTCAAACCATCCATCATATGTAAGGAACTGTCAGTTAAGAGTCTTTACTCAGATAAAACAAATTACTTGATAGTATTAGATTTTTGATGCCTTTTCTTATCAGACTTCCCTCTGGGTTTTATTTAAGTCAACTTCTGAGTTGTTTGCTTTTATTTTCCTTTTTCTCAGAAAAGTCTTGTTTTTCTTAGCAAATGTCTTGTTTTTCTATATCAAATGAGTAGCTCAAAGAGTTGTGCCTCTTATGTGCCTATAGACTTTGTCCTCTTTATTTACCCTAAGGAACAACCTTTTATTATATTTTACTTCATTTCAAGGGTATTTCAAAATAACACTTAGAATTATATTATTTTGTTATATTGTCCTTTATGTAAGACAGATATTAAGAGTGTACCCTTGGTGATAACTAGATACAGTTTATTTTATGCTTCTGTATTAAAATTAGTTGGTTTGCTCATTAGCATGCAGTCTTTACTATTAGTGTCTCATGGACTTGAATTTCCATTCATTGTCTTAGGTGCTGCCAGTGGGTACTGAACTTCCAGCTGGTACTCTGCCTAGCGAGCAGCTGCCACCTTTTCCTGGACCTTCACTAACTCAGGTGCCCCAAGATTTGGCAGATTTCTTTCTATGCTCCTACTTTCTTCGCAAAGCTTGTTTAAATAGTTCACCATTGCATGACCTTGGCTTCTGGTTCCTTCTTGGCTTTGACTTAGTAACACCTTTCTTTTAAAAACCATGTAGCTGCACAGGGGTTATAGCTCAGTGGTGGAGCACTTGCCTATCATGTGTGAGGCACTGGGTTTGATACTCAGCACCACATAAGAATAAACAAAATAAAGGTATTGTATCCATCTACAACTAAGAAAATATTTAAAAACATAAAAACCATGTAGCTAATGATCCAGGCCCCACATAAAGTAAGCTTCATTATTATATTGTTTAGAATTTTGCTTCAAGTCACCTAGAAAACATTTAATATATTTTTGTATTTCATGTGGGAAGAAAATATCAAAGTTTGACGTTTTGCCAGACAACATTACTCTTTTTTTCATTCACAGTTTTTTAAAAATATTTTTAGTATAGATGGACATGATATCTTTATTTTATTTATTTAGTTTCATGTGGTGCTGACACTGGAATCCAGTGCCTCACACATGCCAGGCAAGCTCTCTATCACTAAGCCACAACTCTGGCCCCCATTTATTCTTTCATAGAATAGTGAAATTCCTTCTTAAATGTAAGGGTAGTTTCTAAGCCAATGTGGAAATAAAAAATTTTATGTGATCAAAATTAACTATGGGGCTGGGGTGATTGTAGCTCAGTGGTAGAGCGCTCACCTAGCATGTGTGAGGTACTGGGTTCGATCCTTGGTACCACATAAAAATAAACAAATAAAATAAAGGTACTATGTCCCATCTACAACTAAAATCTATATATGTATTTTAAAAATTTAACTACGAAAGTTTCTTCATTAAAAAATAAAAAATATCCGTTTTCTGAGTCCAACCAGTTAGGTGTTTTTTGTTTGTTTAATTTTTAAAAACCAGTTTTAAAAATCTTCAATGTTTATCAAAAATGCTTTAAAAATCTTCAATGTTTATCATTTCTTTCATTGACCACCTAAATAAATAATTGGCTTACATATAGGTGTAATGTTGCATGAAAATATGTACTGTAACTTTTAATATAAAAATTGACAGCTCAACAAGATATTAACATGTTTTGTAAGATTGCTCATAGAGGGGCTAGGGTTGTAGCTCAGGGGTAGAACACATGCCTAGCATGTGGGAGGCACTGGGTTTGATCCTCAGCACCACAAAAAAATAAATAAATATAGGGCTGGGGTTGTAGCTCAGTGGTAGAATGCCTGCCTCACACACATGAGGCACTGGGTTTGATCCTCAGCACCACATAAAAATAAATAAATAAAGATTGTATCCATCTACAACTTTTAAAAAAATATTTAAAAATAAATAAATAAATAAATAAAATAAGTATTTTGTCCACCTAAAAACAAGATATTTTTTTTAAAAAAACTTGAGATCAGCCGAATGAACTTGAGTTTCCCTTCTCACGCTCAGTTCTGTTAATGTATACGATAGTAGTCATAATCATCTGTAATGTTTAAATTATTGTTTCCCTTTCCCATTTCACCCCATTACTAACTACTTAGTTGAATTTCCCGTAAGGGAAGCACTTGATATGAATCAGTCGATTATAACCATGAAGAAGGTTCTGACATGGCACAAGCTAGTAAACTTTGAAACTAATTTAGGAATTTATTTTGAAATTATATGTAATAAAAACATGACAGATTGCTACTTGAGAAGCCTACTATGAATTTATCCCTCCTACTTTAATTCTAATTTTCAGTAGAACATAATGTAAAGAACTTGCCAAAATAAAGTAATAACTTCAACCGAGAACCTACTCCAACAGTCACCAGATTTTGAAAAAAAAAAAAAAAGGTGCAGTATTAATGCCGATATGATTTTAAACCAGTTTCTCATTAAAAACATGTGTTCAAAAGCCATGCATGGTGGCATGTATCTGTTATCAGCAGGATCACTTAAATCCAGTTTTACCAGCCCAACCAATATAGTCAGACCTTGTCTTTAAAAAGAAGAGAAAAATAAACACTGATTGCTAAGTATAGTGAGAAATATAAAGGCTAAGGAAGGGTAAGTAGATAGTACCTTTATTTAGAGGTGGACGCATAAATGAAGCTTATGTAAGAACAGATTGATAAAAACCAAGATAGATGTACCAAGTAGAGACTGTGACTGGGTAAAAAAAGAATGTGCCCCAGAGGTGCATAGCATAGTACATGATTAAGAAGACAGAATAACCAGAATTCCTTGCTGCCATCTGTAGGATTTAAGTATATATCATATAAGTGTAGCTGAATTACTTTGATAGAGTTTCATAATCTTGATAGCATTATGTAAATTTTGGTTTGGGGGGTTTTGTTTCCAGTGAAAACAAATGTTATAATCTAAAGCATAAAATAATGTCCTGTATAAATCGCTTATATATAGTAGCTCTGAAAGTGCCATAGAATTTATATCTATCATAACTGTTTTTGCTCAGTCACAACAACCTCTAGAAGATCTTGATGCACAGCTGAGAAGAACACTTAGTCCAGAGACTATTACAGTGACATCTGCAGTTAGTGTAAGTGTTTAAACCCTTGATAAAATCTCATAACCCTAGGGGCTCAGTGGTAGAGCGTTCACCTAGCATGTATGAGGCACTGGGTTCAAACCTCAGTGCCACATAAAAATAATAAGTAAATAAATAAATATATCATCCATATAAAATCTCTTAACCTGAATGTATCATATTTCTGCAACACAAAATGTAACCTAAATAATTATTAATATAACATCTTATGTACCTCTAACTAGTGTATATCTCAGATCAGTCCTATGGATTTTTCATTTATGCTTTGTAGTAGGCTAAAACTATTTTTCAGTGGAGCATGACTATAATCCCAGCTACTAGGGAGGCTGAGGCAGGAGAGTTGTGAATTCAAACCCAACCTAGGCAACATAGTGAGATCCCCATTTGAATAAAGAAAAGGAAACAGCTAGTTTTCTATAGAAATACTTACCTATTTCCATGACTGAGGAGAATTGATACTAATATCTAAAGCATGAGATATTAACAGATTAACGAGCCTTTGTTGGTGTTATTGGAACAAGAAGATTATTATACATGGGGCAGTGGTAGTTTCTTAGCATAAGACTTTTAAGTGTTCTGTGAGAAAAATTAAGAAAGAATGAAGAAGGATTAAGACTCAAATTTTCTTTAAAAAACTGCCTTTCTGCCAAATGCGGTGGCACACCCCTGTAATCCCAGTAACTCTGGAGGGTGAAGCAGGAGAACTGCAAGTTCAAAGCCAGCCTCAGCAACTTAGCAAGGCTCTAAGCAACTTGGTAAGACCCTGTCTCAAAATAAAAAGGGCTGGGGATGTGGCTCAGTGGTTAAATGACCCTGGTTTCAGTCCCCAATACCAAAAAAAAAAAAAAATTTTTTTTTGGTTGCAAAAGAAAATTCCCTTAGATATAAATGTTTCTTCACCATATACTATATTTCACTTTTCCAAAGACCAGAAAAAAGGTAACAGGTCAAAAGTATTCTTGATTAAAGCTAAAGATTTTGTGGTATCTGTGTGTGTATGTGTTTTGCAGCCTGTGTCCATGGTGGCTCCAACAGCAGTTACAGAAGCAGGAGCACAGCCTCAGAAGGATGGTGAGAAACATCCTTCTTCCTTTCATATTACTACTCCCAGTCCTGCCTATGATTGATAATAGAGGTCACTGTTTCAAAGGCACAGTCTTTAGCATGTGGGTATATTTGAGACTATTATAAGGAACATTTTTACGTATTTCCATGACTGAGGAGAATTGATACTAATATCTAAAGCATGAGATATTAGCAGATTAACGAGCCTTTGTTGGTGTTATTGGAACAAGAAGATTATTATACATGGGGCAGTGGTAGTTTCTTAGCATAAGACCTTTTGTTCTTAGGTAGGCAAGATCCTTGCAAGATTAGGAAATTGAGGCCTTTATAAAAGTGAATTTACAACTAACTTCTTGACTTTTGTGACACTGGACATATAGAGATAAAAATCAGCTTGAAAAGCCAGAATAACATTTCGTACAGAGATTAAATATAATTAAATTAACTAGTTTTAATATTGTTTTTATTCAAGCTAATTATATATTGAATTGACTTATTTTAAAAGAAATAACTTAAAAATTAATGATACATTAGAAATGCTAGAAATAGACAAAATAAAGGAAACTGTAAATTATCAAAACACATACCATAAGTAAATACAATAAAAGTTGATTACTTATATTTACCACCAAATAAAAGGGAATGTAGAATGTAAAGAAAGTGGCCTTTTAAATCTTCAAGAAGATATGGGATATTTCAACTAAATAGCCATCTGGGAAAAACTAAAAGTGGATTGTTAACTTAGTCCAAAGTAAAGTCTTAAATGGATCAAAGATGAAAGATATCATAAAAATAGTACTACGTAAGAATACATGAGAGGAATATCTTCCTTAATTTTTTCCCCCAACTGCGTAGAGCAGAGTCAACAAACTTTTTACCAGATAGTAATATTTTAGACTTTTCAGGATGCAGTCTTTGTTGCATCTTATTCAGATTTCCTGGTCAAGCCCCAAAGCAGCAATAGACTAATGCAGATGATTGAATCTGATTGTGCTCTTGAATTTGATACACTGATCATAGTTTGTTCTAATCCCTGATAGAGAGGCTTGTGTTAAGTTTAATATTCAACCTAGAGCAAGCAGTAATAAATTTCAAATTTGTTGAATGTAGTAAAAATGCCATTGGGTATAAAAATAAATGAAAAATTGGGGAAATACATATGTGGTGGTGGTGGGATGTCTGAGTGTATCTTTATCATAGAAGGGACTAGTTTCGCTAACATAAAGAATCTGGCCAGTCACAGTGGTGCACACTTGTAATTCTAGCAATTCAGGATGCTGAGGCAGGTCAGGATCACAAGTTCAAGGCCATCATGGAGCATATAGCTCAATGGTAAAGCACCCCTGGGTTCGATCTCCAGGATTGTAGGGGGCAGGTCCTGAAATTCAGCATGGACCCAACAAATATAAGATACAGAAAAATAAATTTAGACATGAAAATACTTAACTTCCTCAATGATAACAGAAATTGAAAGTAAAACTACAAATGATAGCGTTTCTCACCTCTCACTGTAAATTTAGGAGTTTTAGTAGCCACTGGTATGTTGTTAAAGCCTTTGGGGATCAATTTAGTAATGTCTAAGTTTTAAAAGCAAATTATTTAATAGTTCCATTCCTTAGTCCACATATCTATAAGACATTATGTATTAGAGCACTTTTAAAATAGCAAATTTCTGAAAAATTTAGATGTTCATTGGTAGAAGCCTGATTAAAATATGGCACACTGAAAAAACAAATATATATATATATATATATATATATATATATATATATATATATATACAGAAATAAAATTCAAAACTCTGTGTTCATTAAAAAGAAAAGAATGAGGCACTGAGCTGGGGTTGTGGCTCAGAGATAGAGTGCTCGCCTAGCATGCATGAGGCACTGGGTTCGATCCTCAGCACCACATAAAAATAAAATAAAGATTATTTCCACTTATAATTAGAAAATAAATATTTAAAAAAGGAACAAGGCATTGATATGAAATACTCACTAATTGCATGGAATCATCAATCAGTATTCTAATTGTATAAAATAAGGAAAATACATGCTGAAGTATGCCTTTAAAATTCAGAATAAAAACAAATAGTTGTCCCTGGGGAAAAGGACCTGAGTGGCTTTGAAGTTGCTTAAACTACTTATGAATGATTCTTAAGAACTATACTATCCTGTTTTATAGGACTTTACCTGAGTGTTCAATTGAGAAAATAAATTTAAACTGGTTTTCATTTTAAAGTAGATCTTTAATATATTTTTAGCCAAAGGGAATAGAAGGTAACTTTTTAAAAGAGGGTGATAATTTATCTTCCTCCTCTATGTATTTGTTTCAGTTTCCCAAGGCACAGAAGGCCCTGTCCTAGCAACTAGTTCAGGAACTGGTGTTTTTAAGATGGGACGATTTCAGGTATGACAATCATTTTCTTTGCCTTGATTTCCTCTTTTTTCGGGTGGTTGTGTATATAATAAAATTGTTACCTACCTATAATTATATTAATTCTACCTAATATAATCTTTTTCATAGTACCTGATAACTGTCATCTTCCTGTCATATAAGTAATATATACTAATTAAAGAAACTATGAAATACTTAGAACAGTAGAGAAACAATAGATAATCATACTAACTTTCCAACGCATCCCACAAGATTACTTGTTTTTTCTAAAACTGGCAGCTGCTTCTCTTTGAATATCGTGTAATTCTTTCTTCCTCAAATAGTAATTCGTTTACCTAACCATTCTTCTATTGGTCATTTCTAATTTTTTCATCATAATAAGGAAAGTAAAAGTGAACATATTTTTCCCCCTTTACAATTCTGGGGATTGAACCCAGATTGAACCATTGACCCAGCCTTTTTTTTTTTAATTTGAAACATGATCTCATTAAGTTGCTGAGGCTGACCTTGAATTTGGGATCCTCCTGCCTCAGCCTCCCAGGTTGCTAGGATTACAGGTGTGCTTCATCATGCCCACCTGAACATCTTTATGTGTAAAAACTTTTTATATTTATAATAATTTTCTTAGACTTAACTCTGTAAATGAAAATACTGAGTCAGCATCAAATGATACCATATTTTCTCATCTGATCCAACCAATGAGCAGTTTCTAGTTCTTAGTACATAGAGTTAAATAAGCTTTGCAAATAATTTTTAAACTGTTTTCAGAACTACTTTCATATTAATAATTATGATAGCCCCTGGAGTTGGGGATAGTAGGTGATTTTTCTCATTTGTAAACTGAGGTTGTTTTTTTTTGTTGTTGTTGTTGTTTTGTTTGTTTTTGTTTTGGGGACGCGGGGGGGGTGTTTTGATTTGGTTTTTGTCTGTTTTGTTTCTGGTCATACTGGGGATTGAGCCCAGGAGTGTTCTACCTCTCAGCCTTTGAGCTACATCCCAACCCCCTTTTCATTTTACTTTATTTTGAGACAGAGTCCTGCTTAAGTGACCTAGGTGGGCCTTAAACTTGAGATCTTCTGCTTCAGTCTCACAAGTAGCTAGAGTTATAGGCAAATATCGCTGATCCTGGCTATAAACTGAAGTTCTTTGAGTTTGTAGTTAGGCTGAGTTTGTATCTGTAAAACATGGACAAACCAGGACAAGGATGTGGATCCTCCTTTCGTACCTTTTAGTGGTATTTATTTATTTTTTCTTGGTACCAGGGATTGAACCCAGGTGCATTTAACCACTAAACCACCTTCCCAGTCCTTTTTGGTTTTTATTTTGAAGCAAGGTCTCCCAAGTTACTTAGGGCCTCACTAAATTGTCTGAGGCTGGCTTTGAACTCTAGCCACTCAGAATCTACATCTCAGTATAGATGTGTTGTTCTTTGTAATGATATTTGATTTATTTTTGCAGTCCAAGATGGATAGACTATGTAGAGATTCAGCCTGTTGATTGACTAGAAAATGAAGTGATTCCTTTTTTTTTTTTTTTTTTAGCAGTCCATGCTAGAAATTAAATGTCAGGGACTTCACTTTTCAATCATACTCTGTTCTTTTTCCATCAGGTTTCAGTTGCAATGGATGATATCCAGAAAGAAGATAAAAATAAGACAGAAGATGCAAAGTCTGTTCATTTTGAGTCTAGCACATCAGAGTCCTCAGTGCTATCAAGTAGTAGTCCAGAGAGTACCCTGGTGAAGCCAGAGCCTAATGGGATGACAATCCATGGCATCTCCTCAGATGTGCCAGATAGTGCCCTTAAAACTCCTGCCTCAGAAGCAAAGTCAGAAACTGGGCAACCTACCAAGGTGGGACGTTTTCAGGTGACAACTACAGCAAACAAAGTGGGTCGTTTCTCTATATCAAGAACTGAGGACAAAATTGCTGAGGCAAAGAAAGAAGGACCAGTAACATCTCCTCCTTTTAGGGATTCAGAACAAGCTGTTCTCCCTGCAGTAATACCAAAGAAAGAAAAGCCTGAACTGTCAGAGCCTTCACATCTAAATGGGCCATCCTCTGACCTGGAGGCTGCTTTTCTAAGGGGGGATGTAGATGATGGTTCAGGTAGCCCACACTCACCCCGTCAGCTGTGCTCGAAGAGTCTTCCCATTCAGAATCTAAGTCAAAGCCTTAGTAATTCATTCAATTCCTCTTACATGAGTAGTGACAATGAATCAGACATTGAAGATGAAGACTTAAAGTTAGAGCTTCGACGACTACGAGAAAAGTAAGTGTGTTTTCTCCTGTGAGTGACTAATGGCACATATTATATTAAGACAGTGGATCCCAGTGGCAAGATTAATGGTCCTTTCACTACAATATGTTAATGTGGTATTCCTTCTACAGAGAAGGTGATATGCAAAAGTTCAAGTTGTTTCAATATAATTCATTCCCTGTCTTCTCATCAGAATTTAAGACTTTTCTAGTTATGGGATTTCTTAAGCACCTCTATATTATCACTGTAATGTTTTTTTTTTATCATACATATTTTATTAGCCACTTTGTTTAAATAACAAAGTACTGTTGAAGGCCAATTATAGAGCTCAAAGATCACATGAACTGATTACAGTTTACTATTCACATCTCAAAATTTCCTAGAATAATAAAAATGAGGACAGCAAAATAGAAAATTTAAAAAAAAATCAAATGACAAAAACAATACTCGAAATTATCATGACACATTTGAATTCTTTTTCTAGAACCATGAGTTTTTCTTAAGGAAAATAGCCAAAGTCATTGTAATTGGAAATGTTTCCCTTTAATGACAACATATGAGGTGGCCATGTTGAAACTAATTATTTTCATTATATTTTTCACTTTCATTAATAAGAATTTCACCATCTGCTTTTGTGTTTATTTCTGAAGAAGCATTTTAGACATGAGACTAATTTGGGTGTTTCTTAAATGGTTATAAACAATGAGTTTTCTGAATCAATAATCAGTGATATTAATATAGACAAGAAGTCTCGTGTCTAAAATGTTATTTTTAATGCAAGGAAGAAGAAAAAGTTACTAAGTTAAAAAAGTATTAAATTTACCCTTTAGAAAAGATTTTTATTAAATGTTTATCCATGTGTAATTATCTAATATTTTCACTGTAATTGCTCCATTATATATTAACCAAATTATAATTGAGTCAATTAATTAGAGAGCACTTTCTGAAGTTCCCTATGCTGGCCATGTGGCCTCATTTATATTATTTATTTTGCCTGGAATTCCTACCAGATCATTCTTCCCGGTCCCATCCCCATCTCCAAACAATACTTAAWTCTGTATCTACTCCTATTTGTCCTGCAAGATGCCTTTCAGACCTATTACTAAAAATATTTCTTCATTCTCTAATAAAGTCAAATACTATTTCTTTTATCCTACACTGAATTATATATATTCTTCAGTTTTATCATTACCCCACTCTATTTGTGTTATATTTGCTTTTCTTAGAATGCAAGAATTCCTCCCAAGCAGGAACAGTATTCTCTTCTAATACTAAACAAGTTAGTATTCTGAAATCCTAGGACTTAACATAATTTAGTCCCTAAATAGAAGAAATTGAAATAAATGGAAACTTTTACATATCTTCAAAGTGATTACTACATATAAATAATGTCAATGGCATGTCCCAGATTAACCATGAAGATGGCATTTTTTTTCCATCACTTAAGAACACTATGTCACTATAGTTCATCACTTAAGAACACTATGTCATTATAGTTGACCTTTTATTTCTACCCATGCATAATGGTCAATAACCATCACAGTGAAAGTGCCCCTCATTATTTGGGGGAATTCTGTCCCAACACAGTGATTAATTGCATCATCACTGTATGGTCAAAAGCAAGTCCTTAATCTTTGGCAAGCTTTGCTCAAGTTATAATGTTTCCCGGACAACATATATATGAGGTGGCCATGTTGAAACTAATTATTCTCGTTATATTTTTCATTACATTTTTTTATGTCATTAGCACTTCTCATCACTGTTAACCATTCCCGGCTGTTTGTTCATCTACCAAATGAACCTGGTAATGGCATTGAGAAGTATAATTATGTTGACAAGTTTTGTTAATTTTATTTTTCTCAAATTGGATCAGAATAGCAAATTCACCTGTCCTGCATATGGCCTCAGAAGTCAGGAAATGTTTTTTCCATAACACCTTATCAACTATTTGTGGTTGGCTAGTGTTATTGTGAGCTTTTTCGCTGCTGTGACTAAAAGACCTGACCAGAAAAATTTTAGGGAATGAAAAGTTTATTTGGGGCCTTATGGTTTAGAGGTCTCAGTCCACGGACAGCTAGCTCCATTCCTCAGGGTTCAAGGTGAGACTGATCATCATAGCAGTGTGTGTGGCAGAAGGAAACAGCTCACATGGTGATCAGAAAGTAGAGAGAGATTCCACTTGCCAAATACAAATATATACCCCAAACAGTTCCCACCTCCTCCAGCCATACTCTAGCACTTCAGTTACCTCTCAGTTTATCCCCATTTGGGGGGGGGGGTGTTAATTCACTGATTGGATTAAGACTCCGGCAACCCAGTTCTTGCATTGTTTCCTCTGAATCTTCTTGCATTGTCTCACACGTTGAGCTTTTGAGGGACACCTCACATCCAAACCATAATAGCTAGGAACTTGTGGGAATATGGCTTGGATAATGGAGACTAACAAGGTAGGTTAATGACAAACTAGAATCTCATGATGTAGTACATTTGGGGAAAGGGTTCATAACTAAATAAATACTTAATTGCAAATTTTAAAATACAATTTAATTCTTTTTTGAATTGGTTATAATATTTTGAATTATGTTTCATTATCTTTTGTAGACATCTTAAAGAGATTCAGGACCTGCAGAGTCGCCAGAAGCATGAAATTGAATCTTTATATACCAAATTGGGCAAGGTTCCCCCTGCTGTCATTATTCCCCCAGCTGCTCCCCTTTCAGGGAGAAGAAGGAGACCCACTAAAAGCAAAGGCAGTAAATCTAGTCGCAGCAGTTCCTTGGGAAATAAAAGCCCACAGCTTTCAGGTAAAAATAAAAAAACCTGGACCAAGTTAATCATCTTTGGTTTTTGTGTCCAGCTGAATATGTGATCTAGGAGTTTGGCAAAAGCCAATTCTTGCTTCCTTGACTTCTTAACTCCCTATACTTATTATCCCTTAAAAATCTGTAGAAGTAGTCTGGATGACTACAATGGCTTTTTCTATTGCAATGTTGCTGCTACTGATAGTCTTCATTTATAGTGTTCTTGAGGATAAACACTTAACTTTGCCTGTTAACACTCACATTTAACCAAACTTTTGTGCATTTGGAAACAAATGTATTTTTCCCTATTTATTAAACCTCAGGTAGAATCTTCCTTTTAATGGATGAGTTGCATAATTGCAAGTAGGATGAATGTGAATGGCATAGATATTTGAGTGTGTCTAAGTAGTAACATCCTTGATGCAGCATTTTATTTCATTTGTCTGTATTGAGATAAAGAATTTACTAGTGATTACAAAGGTGTTTAAATAATAATCTGTGATAATGTATCATGGTCTACTTTAATTGGAATAGAGAGTTTTTATCCTCAATGAAAAGTATGTAGTGTTAACAGGTAATTAGCCGCAAAGTTGGGGGGGAAATAAAAGGCTAAAATAAGTGTTTATTTCATATTTGCTCTCCAGGTCTAATTTAAGAAATTGGAGAGCAGCTGAAAATATCTTAGCAGCTTTCCATTCACTGGAAGCCTTCATAGATGCGTAAACCTTTTATTGAGCATATTAGGACCAATTTATACAACCCATTGGTAGAGATATTATAAGGGAGATTAGCTAATTTGGATTCTAACCCCAATTTTAACATACTTTTTGAATGGATTTCTACTCACCCAGTAACTAGGAAGCAAAAGTTAGTCAGATTTGAATAGAATTGACCTAGCAACTTAAAGCTACCTACCAAGAAAAATTTGAAATATCCATTCCTCTTTAGTCACCTACATCATTCTTTGATAACTCTTTGTATCTGATTTGATGTGTATTTATAAAAAAGTCTAAGCAGAGCCAACTAGTCAGTGGCTTGGCTGAATACTATAAACCCAGCAGCACCTCAGGAGGCTGAAGCAGGACAATTGTAAGGTCAAGGCCAGACTTGCCAACTTAATGAGACTCTATCTAATAAAAGTAAAAAGGGCTGGGGATGTAGATCAGTGGTGGTTCAATCCCCGTACCACTTTAAAAAGAAAGTGGTACGGGGATTGATTTGTATAATGAGCCATCATTTTTTTTTTCCTAGTAGGGGAAAAAAATGATTTACAGAAATGTAGAATGGAATCTTTACGCATTTTGACCCATGATTAATCCTCAGTAGAACAAATTAAAGGAATAAATACATTGCCTATTGAGTGCATCAAGGAAACTTCACATGTGTCCTCAGCCCATTTGGTCTTTTGGCAGGTAACCTGTCTGGTCAGAGTGCAGCTTCAGTCTTGCACCCCCAGCAGACCCTTCACCCTCCTAGCAACATTGCAGAGACCGGGCAGAATCAGCTGTTACAACCTCTTAAGCCATCTCCCTCCAGTGATAACCTCTACTCGGCCTTCACCAGTGATGGTGCCATTTCAGTACCAAGCCTTTCTGCTCCAGGACAAGGTAAGGAAGAGATCAAAGCAAACATCATCTTCCAGAAACATTAAAATGAAGAAATTGCCATACCTGGGAGAAATGCCTAATGAGTAAACCTATTGGCACTAGCTGACCTGAACATGGTCTACATGTTATACACTGATGTATCTTTGGGCTCAGCAGAGAAGTTGAGTGGTGATCAGAATCATTGAGTTCATTGCTCCCATTAGGTGAGCTATTTTCCAAAGGATTACTGTGAAAAGTTACATCTACAGTCTTTATAAATAACTTATTTGTGTTTGGAATGTAGGCTTTACTGCTAGGCTGAGATATCCTGGACCAAATTCTAAGGAATTTTAGCAGTTTCTAAAAAACAATGTGTTTTCTTAGCTATTGTAGACTTGTTTAAGTATGGGAGTAACTAAGATGACTAGCCCTACTATTTAATTTTTCATCTATAATCTCTTCTTTCCAAATATAGTTTTGTTCATTAACAATTATTGCTCAAACCATTCCTGCAGAAGAAGGAGCTTTCAGTAACATTAGAATAAGAAGTGAAGAGAGTTGAATATCTGGGCAGAAAATAATGAAAAAAAATAAAGATACATTGGCTTTACCATAACTTATTTGAGAGTTGCTAAGGAACACAAACTAGCTAACATTATTCCAACTGAGAAGAGCTTCAGTATTGTGCAAAAGGAAGGAACCGAGGCCTGATATTTCCTGTCTTACATATCTGACCTTCCCAGAAGCTTTGTTCTTCTCTGTGCCATCTTAGTGCTTTTCACCACTCAAGCCTCAAGTTTCTAACATCTTGTAGTTGTGTTCTGTCTCTTCTCCTCTCTCTGTTCTTCCGTTTTCCCCCTCTCACAGGCTGTGCGAAGTTTAACTGTGCATCTGAGCAGGTGACATTCAAACCTGGTGGCAGGAGGACCCGATTTCTGAGTACGCCCTGCTTGGCTCTTTGTGTGTAACACCTTTACTCCTTCCTTGTCCTTGTTTTTCTGCTGCTTGGATCTGATGTGTCACGCAGTCCATTTTCATTTGTCTCTTTGTATATCCATCTAGTCAGTGGCTTGGCTGAATACTATTGCCCTCAGAAGTTTGGGTCCCTGTGTTAATTATGGTAAAAGATGTAAAAATAATATTGGATTTCTATAGATGTCAAAATAACTCTCTAGTAGAATTGCTTCTTCCTAGATCCATGATAGATATGGATCCAGGATAGATAAGATATCAAGACTTTATACTGGGTCATTGAGAGTAATGAAGACCACACCTAGTCATGTTCAATATTGTCTCTCAGCCAGCCCCTGCATTAGGAGTGACAAAAAGCATCTTAACCACTGATGCGCTTAGGTCCTTGAAACAGGTAAAACTTTACCATATTTTCTATTCTTTTCAGAGTAGGCGGGAATCTTGTTTTCTCCTCATTAAGCCTAAACATCTACTAGTTGAAAAGATGGTAGAAGTTTCTTCATTGGATCCATTACTGCCCTCTTTCCCCATGAGATTAGTAGTTCAAAAGGGGGTTTACTGTGGTTATCCAAGATAAAGCATTTATTCTATTAATGACCAAAGCCCAGCACCTGCAAGTGAAAGCTGCCTTTTTAATCTGATTGCTGGGATTTCCTAGCCATATATATATATAATCAGTTGTTCAAGACAATACAATGCCTTACATTTAAAAGCAAAGCACAGTAGCAAATCACCCATCTTCCCCATATGTGAAGAAGACAGTTCCTATCTCCTGGGGCATATAAATCAGATAAGATGATAGACACAAAAATAAATGACTCTTGGGACATAGTCATGGTCCATGGTACTCTCTGATTAGCCAGTGCCTATCTAGCACTTAGTAAGTGATCAATAAATGTATATTAAAATAAAAATTTCACAAACAAAGCTCAACTTTAAATTTTTTTATTTTTATTTATTTTTTATTTTATTTATTTATTTATTTATTTTTGGTTAGAATTTGGATAACTATCTGTTAAGGCCTCAAACTTCTGGTGTGGTTATTGAAGTGCTTTTTAAATGCATGTGCTAAGGCCATCAGTGTTTGAGTATATGGTTCAGAGATCCTGGGCCTCTTCATGGTGGGAAGAATTTACACTCTCCTTTGTCCTCTGTAGTGACCAAATTTCAGAGTACATTGAAATTACATTTAATTTCCATTTCCCTCACTGTCACATTTGTAAATCTTTCTAGTTTCCCTATTCTTTTTCACCTGAGTTAATAATGAATTGGCTCTATTTAAGGTGATTTTTTTTACCACCTTTCCCACGTGTTGCTAGTCCAGAGATTTTTTAAAAAGAAGAGGGTGAAAGACATTACACAGCTTGGTAATTTTCCAAGCTTGTGTAATTTTAGAACATTCACATCAATATTTTTTCTGGTTAGACTAGCCTGGACAATGCCTATTAGCACCTTGACACTTGAATAAGCATTTAATTTGCATGTCCAGCTAGAAAGATGAAAGAACATTAGTAGTAGGAGACAAGTGTTTTGAAATAAATTTGATTTGTCAGGCCTATGATATACAGCCTGAAATGATTGAGATACATACACACACACACACACACACACACACACACACACACACACACATTCCCTGTCTTTTGAGAGGGAAGAAAGAAAACAGACTTTTTTTCTGGAAGTATGAGATGATAAGTATCACTTTAATTCTGTTAGTTCTCATCAGACATTTAAAGGTAGGTGGTATCACACCCCTTTGTTCAAATAAAAGTGATTAGAAATATTAAATTTTTTCACTTCCCCTTTGGTCTAAATGAGAGGCCATACATCTTTGAAGGCACATCAGGATTCAGTATGTAAGCTTGCTGTACAAATCCTAAGAGGCAGACTTAAAAATATGGGGAAAAAACAGGTATCTGTAAGGAGCCGGGGGCCTTATTAGTTTGGGTTACATTATTCTGTACTCTCAAAATAATAGATAATGGTTTTGAAGCACGGCTTGGCTTAATGCTCTGTTTATGTTCAAAGGTTGCTTGTTTTCCACATATTTTTAAAGATTTTTCTGGAAGGGAAGGGGTTAGTTAGTGTGTTTATCTAGAATATAGAAATATAATAGCCAATTTAAATTAAAATTGTAACAGTGGTACTAATTTTATTGAGTGCTTTATAACAACCCAGCAGGAGAAACAAGAAGTGAGACAGTATCAGTGGAAACACTGCTTGAGTGTTTGAAATTCAAGCAGTGAGACCTTAGGTACTGGAGTTTCTCCCCTTACGCTTTGAAAAACAGAGATTGGATGTGGAAACTCAACACATTTCAACAGGCAACACGGTCTGTCAGATCACTGTGTGAAGGCTAACAGCCAGTTAGATAAAGACAAAATTCTATGGGATGTTGTCAAGGCTACCAGGTCCCACCCATCTGTCTCCCCTCCTGCTTTCTCTTGCTGGGACTCTGTATGCTGTTTGGAGAATCTAAAGATTTTACACTGATGTTTCTTTATCTTTAACACACTGCTCTCTCTTTGTGCTTCAGGGAAGATGGTGAAAAAAGTTTGTCCTTGCAACCAGCTCTGTAGTAATTATCTTTTCTGTTACTTTTGGTCCTTGATTGCAAAGCCTGTTATCTATGAGTTCTTTGAACTCTGAAGCTTCATAATTCCAGCTTCCCAACTTCCATCTATCTCTGCACCTTTTCTAATGTATTCTTTAACATGCTTAATTGCTAACTCCTGGCTATAATATCAGATTGAGAAACCACCTCATAGTCAATGCTCTCCCCATGTAAACCTAGCTCAATGACAGTCATGGATTGGTAGTGCCTGTGGATGTGCTTGGGGAGCTAGGGGTGCCTAGCTCCTGTAGGAAAGAGTCCTTTAGTTAGCAAGTAGGTACCAAGCACTGTTCTGCACCCTGTAGAGACTTAGCAGTTATCAAAGTGGACAGAGTCTATGCCCTCCTATTGTTTACATCGTGGTGGGAGACAGCTTCTAGATTAGTGCAGGAGAGAAATACTACTTTGGAGAGTTTGGCTTCTTAGACTGGGGTCTTTTCATATAAGTACAGATAATTCAGCAACCCGGCAGGCCACCTAGCAAGAGTTAACAAGAGAACTCTACTCTTGGGATACCAGGCAATAAGTTGTGAGTCCTAATGGGTTATGGTTCCTAAGATCCGGCAGCATGGAGGTAGGGGAGATGTTTTTTTTGGCAGGAAGGAATCAAAACATGAATTTGGGGAGGTTAAAGTCTATACCACTTTTTAGGGCTTTTCAGAAGGATTGAAAAAGTTTTCAAGGTGAGTTAGCATGTTCTCTAGAAAGTCTCTTTCTACTAGTCAGGTCTATGTTATAGGGGTGGATTTCTCATCAGAAAGGGATTTTTGTTTCCCTTTTTAACTGGAAGCCTATTTACAGAAGCCAAAGTAAAAAAGTTAACTGTATGGTTCGTACTCCTTCATGTCATAAGCCCCACTTTCAGAATCCAATACTGGGTAATACAGCTTAAAATGAAAAGTGAAATTTAGTTCTGAAGGGGCCTCACACTATCAAGAGCAGCTAGCATCAGACTAGAGAGGTGTGACTCCCAGCATGAGCTCTCTATGGTTAAGCAGTGCTCACCTCCACTCAGCTTCTCATATTTGGCATTGGACAGCCCTGTTCATTCATGATGACTTCTGTTTGTTTCACTAAACAGTAGTCACCCTAAGCAGGATGCCAATCCCCAATGCATGCTGTGTGCTTGCTGTCTGGATTTCTTTGTTATCATGATTGCCCGTCCTCATTGCCTGTACTTTCCGTTTCCCTCTGTCTCACATTTGCTATTTGAGGAAGGCTGTTTCCTGTGCTTTTATACTTTTCCACTTGGGTTTCCTGTACTCCAGGGAATCCACTCTTCCCCTTATATACCCTGTGTGCAATGACAATACTCTGTGGCTCCAGCGGCACCACGTGAACTGTCACTCACACTGCAGTAGTTCCATGTCTTGCCACGGTGGTAAGAAGCATGTGACCTTCCTCACTCTGCACCTTCACCTCAGAATTAACTGTTCCTCTAGTGTAGACATGCTTGTATGTGCCATTCCCTGAGTGGAAAGACGGCAAATTGACTTGAAACCAGCAATGGATTATAAAGGCTGTAAGTGGCAGTGTTGCTTCAGGTGTGCTGCTGTGCTCTGGTGTGCTGCTCTGTCCTTGAAAGCAGGAAAACGCATGAACTTATTTAGCCCCACTATTACTTGGGTTTCGTCAGGCCTCCTGGCTCACAACTTATTTTAGTAGCTTTTATTTATTCTGCAGTAAATGTGAGATCTGTTAAGAAAGTGGGGGATGAGGAAAAAAAAATAAGACCATGACTCTTCTTTCCCTCTTCCCTAAAACTTGCCTCTTCGAATAAACCTTCAGTGTGCCCTCCAGCAGAGCCGAAATCAGGCAGGACACAGACTCCTTCTTCCTTTTTCATCAAACCATAGAAATAGAATTCCTTCATCATAACCCGAAAGCTTCCTCTACCCTCTGCACCCCTGCCTCAGCTGAACTGTCCTGTTGCTTCTACATGGGAGTGTTTGCTGCTCTGGGAAGAGGGGGAGAAGGTGTGAGAATCCTTGAACCAATTGAAACTGAGATCGTCTTCAGGAAAATATGTCTTCCTGAAGTTGATTCGGTCACCTCCCTTGCCTAATTTTTGTTCTTTACTCATGGAAAATTGAGAAGGGTTGAAGGCTTAACTCTTTCCAAGTTTATATTTACAAATTTATATTCGTGGGTCAAAGTGAAAAACAATTTAACAGAGCATGCTACTTATGTTAATACTACTTTCTATTAAAGAATGACTTAAAAATATGGCAATATCCACATGATTTGAGAACCCATATTCTCCATAGCCAAGTACCCATCTCTGAACTTCTACCCCAACTTTAACCTGCCCAGTGCACAAGAAATCCTTCTTTTGCCCTGCATTCTGCAAACTTCCACAGCAGTGCTCCTTGTTGACCATATTATACTCTCACCCAGTGTGATACTGGGAATAGAGCACTGGCAGAAAGTTCCAGTACTTTAAGATGCTTTGAAAGAGATTCCTGCCCTTCATACCTGCCATCTTCCTAAGTTGTTCAGACTTATCTGCAGTTACTGAAGAGAACCTGTTTTCATTACCCTTTAGTGCCAAAACAAATGCTTAAATAAAACCTTGTAATCTTCCTTTCTTGCATGGCTTCCCAATTCCTGTCCCCATTCTGTGCTTGCCATTTATCATCCTGTGACATTTTCCCTCTTCCTGGAATTAATAATCTAGACTCTTTTTTTAATGCTGCTATTGTCACTACTTTATAACTCCAGGAACCAGCAGCACAAACACTGTTGGGGGAACAGTGAACAGCCAAGCTGCCCAAGCTCAGCCTCCTGCCATGACATCCAGCAGGAAGGGCACCTTCACAGATGACCTGCACAAGCTGGTAGACAACTGGGCCCGAGATGCCATGAATCTTTCAGGCAGAAGAGGAAGCAAAGGACACATGAATTATGAGGTAAGGGCTTCTTTTTTGCCATTTTCCTAATTTCTCACAGTACTACCTAACACAGATGAATCAGAGGTGATACAAACTACTAGGTCTAGTGTACCCTTTTATGCCACAACATTCCTTAGTAGCTCACTTAGAAAAACAAGATGAAAATCACCAAGTGCCCTTTTACTTTCCCTTCCCTGAATCCCTGACTCCTTATTGGTCAGCTCATTTTTTTTCTTCCCTTTTCCTTTAACATTCTAAACTACGTGGGCATGTGTACACACACCTTCCTCCTTCCAATAGGCAATGTATTTTCATTGCTCCTAGAATTGTATTATTAAACTGCCCATTTTACCCCTGGGGGTATTATACCCCCACCAGACTTTCAACTTAGTTGTTTTTTGTTTTCAGGGCCCTGGAATGGCAAGAAAGTTTTCTGCACCTGGACAGCTTTGCATCTCCATGACCTCAAACCTGGGTGGCTCTGCCCCCATCTCTGCAGCATCAGCTACCTCTCTAGGTCACTTCACCAAGTCTATGTGCCCCCCACAGCAGTACGGTTTTCCAGCTGCCCCATTTGGCACTCAGTGGAGTGGGACGGGTGGCCCAGCACCACAGCCACTTGGCCAGTTCCAGCCTGTAGGAACTGCTTCCTTACAGAATTTCAACATCAGCAATTTGCAGAAATCCATCAGCAACCCCCCAGGTTCCAACCTGCGGACCACTTAGTGAGACCTAGAGACATTAATTGAGTAGATCTGGGGGCAGGAGATGGAATGCTGAAGGGAGGGTGGGGGGATGGAGAAGTAGCCTGTATACTAACTACTAGTGCTGCATTTAACTGGTTATTTCTTGCCAGAAGGGAATGTTTGTAATACTGCTTTGAGCCCTCAGAATGGAGACTCTCCCTCCCCCCTCCATTTATTGGAATGGGACAAGGAGAGAGCAACTTTCTTGTGAAGGGGCTGCTTCAGTCTATGCTTTCCTATTTATCTATACCCACCAGTGAGGCCTAGGGCTAGAAGAGAATCTTGTTATCAAGAAGCTACAAGAGAGCTCAATGTAAAGCCAGAGCCCATTTGTATCTGCAAGTGGGTACAGCTCTTAATTGTGGTACAAGCCCCAAATCCCTTACTCCCTCAAGAATTCAAACCATCAAACAATATAGGGTTCTCTCCTACTCTGCCCCCACCCCTGCTTCCCCCCCCTCCTCTTTTAGAACCCAGTGAAAACTACCAGGGGACTGGGGTTGCAACCCTTTCTTATAATAGGTCATTAGTGCTTTAAGCAAAAGATAATAGCAGCTTTGACTGCAGCATTAGCAATTAGGAAAAAAAAATACGTTCCCTGCGGACATGTAACTTTGCCATCAGTTTTGATGTGGAAACACTGTGATATATAAATGTTGTTGGACAACAGTAGTTTTAAGAGTAAAATATGAAAGGTTTAAAAAGTTCACACACAAAAAAAGCTAGCTCTGTCCTTTACTTATTGAGACACTTTAACTTTTTCCTTTGTACTTCCATTGTATTAGATAAATAAATGTGAATGTAAAATTGTATAAATTACTGTACTTGAATACTTCTGTTCTCCCAGTATTGCTTGCTGGATATTTTAGTGCCTTGGACTTCTATTGCTTCTGCCATTAGCATCGACTTACCAGATCCCAGATCAACAAAGGGCATGTGGAAAGAACATTTAGGTCCATGTGACCCCAGCAGTGGATATGCCAAAGGGAAATTGAAAAGAGTATTTTTTTTTTAATCATTCAACAATTTTGTCTAAAGCAGGTGTAAGATAAGTAAGATGGGAAGTTGACATCAGTGGTTGAAAGCAGAAAGTTCTGTTTCAGGAATAGTGAGGGAAGGGTGTTACATCAAAATTGCACAATATAAAAGATTAAGGGAGGTGTGAGCTAAGAAAGAAAAAGAAAGGTTAATTAAAGGGGGAACACACTTGTTTCGAAGATACCTGACGCCTGGCCAGATTGTCGTAAATCTTACTTATTTGAGCTGGGCTTGAACAGATGAGACCTGGAAGAAATTAAACATAAGGAGAAGGGGATGGGTAGCTCATTTTTTAAGGTGGGAAGAGTGGCAGATGGAAAAAGTTGCTCCAAGAAAAAACATTTGGACAGCTCTCTTCATGCACCTACACCTTGCATTTCTCAGCTTGGGGTACTCTTATTCTGTGGAAAGCGGACCTACTTCTGACTTAATAAGGATTGTAGGAAAGAATGCTTTATTTGTTTTTTCTATGATGATGTCCAAATGGTTGCAAGATCATAATCTGTCATGCCACCTATATTTCTACATTTATAACTAATATTCTCACATTGTTCATTTACATACTCCCCCTTCATAACTGCAACCAACCAGTATTATTTAATGCTATGCCTAGTTGTAATGGGCAGTTCTGTTACTTTCAGAACTTTCCAGAAATAAATACTGTTCTAATTGGCTATGTTTGGGATATTCTCAGAAGATGGGGAAAGAAACTAGGACTTTTTCTTGGGTGCTGCTTCTCTTGACTTAGTTGGGACATACCATATTTCCAACCTTTCACCCACCTCAATGGCACATCCCAGGAGTCTCCATGATAGGAAGAGCCTGGTAGCTATCCAGATCTTTTTTGTTCCATTTTGACCCTGGTTCTATTTCTTTATTAAGTTGGCCTAGGCCCCAGAGATACCAATGAGAGCTAAAGGTTTCAGGGAGGTAGAAATGAAAAGAGCAGAGGTTCCAAGCCCTGCTGCAGAAGTGCTGACTTATTTTTCTGTTTAATTCTTGGGGAGAGGGTAAGAGTGAGAAAAAGACGGTGCCGAGTAAATGGGAAATGGACCGCTTGAAGTGAATGAAATGATACTTCTACCAGAGGAATGAGGGTGCCAAATGCAGCACATTGTTTTGTTATTTTTGGTTTAGCAATTTTGAGGTCTTTTCACTTATACAATACACAAAAATAAGAACTGGTTTTATTTACTGTTGATTTTTCCCCCTCCTGTGGATGAAATAACTGAAGCCTAGAGGAATGAACTAGTGCTACTGAACTGTTTAAATTATTTTTGTTAATAGTACCCTTCAAGTATCTTTTTCCATATTAAAAAGAACTTTCTGAACTATAAATGTTTTCCTTACATTATTTAACAATGTACACTGTTTAAAAAAACAAACTGAATTCAAACCTTGGGGGTTTCTCAGCAGCCGTTAATTGTACATTTTGCACTAACTCTGGGTGTTGCGCTTGTAAGATTGCGCTTTGTGCTTCAGTTTGTTACCTTTGTAGACTTATTTAATGAAACCATTCAAATAAACCAAACTTGCTTTTGTTGAGCTTTGGGGTTTCATTTCCAGGAAGTGCCTTTTTCATGTTCTCATTGGCTCTGTTGTGCAGTTTACAACTGGATTCCCATTCCTCTGGAACTTCAGCAGTGATGTTGCCCTCAACTAAGATGCTGCAAGGAAAGTGGACTTTTTCTGAGGAAGACAATAAGGATCTCAAAGTCAAAAGATGAATACACCAAATCCACGCAACACCAATAAGGCTTTTTAGAAGACAGGCAAATTCAGGCAGGCAGGTGCTGTCTCTTCATCTTCTAAAGGAACAGGAAAGGTCAGCAGCTGTCCAGTACTTTCAAGACTCACTTGCCTCACATTGGGGCACCATTATCAGTGGTCTGGGATCCAAAAAGTAAGAAGTCACTACTTCAACAAGATTAGGCCCAGAATGCACTTTAAAAAGTAAAACTGCAAATGCATTATTTTGGGAAAACAATCATGAAACATCTAAATACTATGAAAAATAAATTTTATTTTAAAGTGGATTACATCTCACATTTTTACAAACAGCTACTAGTATTAAGTAAATTTGCTTTCTTGATCATTTCTACTCCCTACCTAGCAAGTCTACCTAGCAAGTCTCTTGCTAGTCCAAAATATCGCTATTCTGCTCCCCTTATTGTGAATTAGCATCCGCATATCAGAAAATTCAGCCTTTGGTTCTTTGAAATTGGCTTATTTCACTTAGCATGATCACAGTTCCATCCATCCATTCATTCATTCTTTATGACTAATACCCCATGTGTATATGTGCCACTTTCTTTATCCATTGAAGGACTCCCAGGTTGGTTCCGTAGTTTAGCTACTGTGAATTGAGCACCAATTTGCAGTCCCACTAACAATGTATGAGAGTGCCTTTTTCCCCCCACATCCTTGCCAACATTTGTTGTTGCTTGTGTTCAATCAAATGATTGCCATTCTGACTAGAGTGAGATGAAATCTCAGTGAAATTTTGATTTGCATTTCCCTAAATACTAGAGATGTTGAATATTTTTTCATTTATTTGTTGATCGATTGTATTTCTTCTGTGAAGTGTCTATTCAGTTCCTTTGCCCATTTATTGATTGATCGTGTTATTTGTTTGGTGTTAAGTTTTTTGAGCTCTTTATATATCCTGGAGATTAATGCTCTGAGGTGCATGTACCTTTTTCTTGATCTTCGATCATTATTTCTTTGATTAGTAAAGAATGTTGGTCTTAAAAGGATGCAGAATTGTGCTGTCATGAACCCACAACTGAGAGATTTTATAGTATTCCCTCTTACCCATAATTTTGCTTTCCAAGGTTTTTAGATTAAACATCAGTCTAAATAATGTGATAAATCATATGCTTTCCCACCCAGGACATGAATCATACCTTTATCCAATCTATCCATGCTTGTATTTTCTATGCATTAGTTATTCTTCTTAGTTATTAGATCAACTTGGGCATTGTTGCCATGCTTGTATCGAAGTTCAAGTAACCCTTATTTAATGTCCACAAAGTGTAAGAACAGGGATGCTGGCAATTTGGATATGTTATAGAGAGAGAGAAGCATGAAAGTACTTTTGGAGTATGGCCTCTACATTGCTGTATATTGAGGGCAGGTAGCCATTAGCGAGTCCTAAAATGTCTACCTTTATTAATATTAAATAGCTTAGGAGTAAAGAGGAAAAAGCCTGAGGAGTCAAAAGACGGGTATTTCATCTGTCCTTGACCTCCCTACTGTAGCATGTGACAAGATTTTTCAAAGTGCTCAGCTTTCTCTGCAGTAGGCTTAACAGTCAAGTCTCCTGAAAAGGTTCAAAATGAATCAAGGTAATCCTTGGAAATCAAGTTCATTCCCCAGGAATGACGAATAATTTCAAGACCAAAAAGCAGTTTTCCAAAGTCCCTTTGTGACAGTCCAAGTAGGTCCTGAGTCATTTAAGATGGATCCAATTTCCTTTTCTTCATGTCCTGGCTCTTCCTATGAGATTCAGAGTTTCCTGTGGAAGATACAATGGCTTAAACACAGCTGCCATGTTTTTTAAAAATAAGGACTAGATAGAGAATAATTCTAGATTAAATTAGTTAATGTTCCTAGTCCAGACTAAGAGTTCAAGAATGAAAACTACTGTTATGGGGAGTAGATCCCTTTGTTAATCCCTAGGCCAAGCGGACCTACTTTTAGAAGGAAAAGCTCTAAATGCAGTCATGTCTAAGGCTAAAAAGGGTAGCATCTGAAATCTGAAGCCCAAGAAAATGTTCTGGCTCTTAAACCCACTGTTTTCTTCCCATTTGCACTGCTTATTTATTGCCTTGGAATGATTCCATCCAATTTCTTAAAATGAAATATCACCCTTCCTTTAAAATTTAAAGAATTAAGCCCAGGATCTCCCTTTAAGTTTGTACCTAAACACATCTCATTGCTACGTGTTACATGCTGGTTAGTGCTGTAAGTCTCTGGGTGCCAGAGTCCAGATTTTTCTTGTGGCTTCTGGTGAAGATCGCTGTGTAGCATCCTGTCCTGATTGTTCAGGACTCGGGTGGCAGAGGTCTGGGGTGGATCTGGTCTAGATAAGGGCTTGACAATGTCTTCTAAATCTGGAGTCAGATCCCACATTTCAAGGTTGTCTTCAAAGTTCTCTAATGAAAATCACAGAAAAGCAAATTGTCAGCTACGAGTGTCTTCACAGAAAGCACTGGGAAAAGTGGTCACAAGAAATTCCAGGTCTTAAGTACCCAATAACAAAATTCACAATTTTTCTCTTCTTTGCCCTGAAAAGTATACTGAAGCTTCCCTTTGTTGGGACAATAGAAGAGCTAAACATATCTATGAAGTCAGAGCCCCTTAGTCTACCTGAAGGCCTCTTTACATTTTTCTAAAACTTTATATAGGTTAAAAAACAGACAAAAGTGAAGCCCCGACACACACTTTTTTTGGGGGTACTAGGGATTGAACCCAGGGACACTTTACACTGAGTAACATCCTTAAGTTACTGAGGGCCTCACTAAGTTTCTGAGCCTGGTCTCCAACTTGCAATCCTCTTGCCTCATCAAGTCTCTGGGATTACAAACGAGTGCCACTACACCCAGCCAAAAATTAGGACTTTTATGCTTCTTTTAATATGTATTCTGTGACTACCAAAAGTATGCACCACAGTAACTTACAAACATTCCTTGGGTACTGACTAATTCTTATGTCATTTACCTGCAAGGACAACTTTCTCCTTGAATGGCCCTGTGTCAGTTATAGGGGTGCTGTGCGTCAAAGGGCGGGCAGGAAGTGCTGCTAGAGTTCACACAGGAGAGAAAGAACAAGTCAGACATAAACTGATTAAGTGGAATTAGAGATCAGATCAACTCCCCTCTGTTTAGAGGGAGCCATCTCAGAAATGCAAAGCTGCCTGAGGCTACAAAGGCTCAGCTGGTAAAGGAACTCAACTTCCTGAGTCCCTGTCCTTCGAGATCTGTACTGTTATATCCTTCTCACCAAAGTGGGACAAGCAAAAGCTAGTGTGTTCTTTAACAGAAAAAATAGGGTGGCTGGAGTTGTAGCTCAGTGGCAGAGGACTTGACTACTTGCACTGGGTTCGATCCTCAGCACCACATAAAAATTAATGGATATTGTACAACTAAAATGTACATTTCTTATACACATACACACACACACATATACATACATATGGCTAATTTTTTAAAAATAGAAGGATTTTTAGAAGCCATCCAGGCTGAGGCTTGAAGCGATGGTTCTTGTTGACTGATAAGTTTGGGGAAAGCCCTGGAGTCCACCTTCCTCCACCACAACCCATCTGAGAGCACCTGCAATGGTCAGAAGCTAAGCCTCTGGAATAACTCATTACTTAGGATAGGCCAAGGACAGTTTCTTTTTCTTTTTTCTTTATTTTTTTTTTTGGGGGGGGGGGTGCTGGGGATTGAACCCAGGGCCTTGTGCATCTGAGGCAAGCACTGTACCAACTGAGCTATATCCCCAGCCCTGTGTATAAAAGCTGAGGAGGGTGAAACAATACATCCTCTGAATCCTCATCATTTGTGGGGAAAACTGGCAAAAATTCAGTTGGTCTGGGACATGCCCTTTCTTTCTTTCCACTCTCTGGGCTGCCCCCAACTCTCCCCGCCAAAAAATGTCTTACTACTCCCACTGAACCTGCACTCTGAAATAAGCTAAAGTTCTCTGGCAGATAACCTGCCAAAAGCTCCCATTATCTTCAAACCCAATTTGCCTTACACTCAAAGCCATTTAGGAAAAAAAATAAGGCTTTCTAATCCAGAGACAAAGTATCTGAAGCCAAAAAAAATTCTTTCCCCTGAAATTATGAATTCCACATTATGGCAAGGCCTATTTACTTCCCCCCCAAAAAACCACTATCTTCAGAAACAGCAAAGTACATGGGAGATTTCACCATCTTAATTTACTGGACTCATCTATCCTGTGAGTTCTGATAAAGGCCCTCGTGGAACCTGGCCTGGAGCTAACCACCTTGTTACTGGCCTCTTCAGAATCATGTCATCCTGTCCCCTAAACTTCTTCCTTCAGAGCACACCCAGGCCACTGCTGCCAGCCCTCACACACCCTCACTCCTCTTCTCAACCTCTGGAGCAGGCATCTGAGCACGTGGCTGCTTCTCCATTTGCTCCCGGAACTGCCGCTGCAGCTGCTGCTGCCGGAGCTTCCGCTGGTATGTGGCATCACTCTCCGCGGTGCAGGGTGTCGGGCTTCTGCATCTGAAGATCAAGAAGGTAGTTAACCAAATTACTAACAAATACACAGGTCTTCAGGAGGCACACAAACCAACTTGCTGCTTCTGAAAACAGAAATGGCAGCAACCTAAGCCACAGAGAGGGCAGAAGAGGAAAAGGACAGAATCTGGACTCCTACCGGGAACTGCTGGCCTTGTCCCCCTGCAGCACAATGTGGGGATCATCCAAGTGGCTTGGTCTGCATGGAGAGGTCACCTTCTGTGGTTTTGAAGGTCCCACAGCCCTATTCAGTAGACAGCTGTTATATCTTGCCTGTTCCACAGATGGTTCAAAATCTTGTCTCTTTGCTTTAGTTAAATCCACTTCATGAGGCAACTAACAAGGGGAGAAAGGAGAAAAAAAAATTGCTCAAATTGCTTACCCCGTTTCTCTTCCATGCATCATAGCCTAGGACTCCCAGAAAACGGCATTTGCCAGTCGCCTATCCATCATTCTTCCTAGGTCCTAAAAGGGTGAGAAAAAAGATCCACAACTTCCAAGTCATTTTGTTTTCAGACAGGGTCTTGCTGTTGCCCAGTCTGGCCTCAAACTGCTGGGCTCAAGCGATCCTCCTGCCTTAGCTGCGACCACAGTTCACTCTTCCACATGTCACAACCACATGTGGAAGAGTGAACAATTTTACTTTTTATTTTATAATTTTCTATATTAATGATCTTTTTATAAAAAAGAACCCTTCTTTGTTTTTGACTCAGGGCAACAGTCTGTAGAATCTAATTTGAATCTCTCCTTGGCAGCTGACCTGTCTTATGCTGTCCCCTTGTCCCTTTTTTCAGAGAAGAGATGACACATAGTCTTTGAGGAAACCTGTATCTTCTCAGCCCTCCCAGCCAGCAGTGCTCCCTACAAACACAACATTCATCACTAAAGAAGTTGAAGGTATGATGTAGTACAACTAAAACATTTTGGTACTGGGGATTGAATCCAGGTGCACTTAACCACTGAGCCACATCCCCACCCTAGTTTCTATTTTTTATTTTTGAGACAGGTGACGTTGGCCTAGAACTTCCAAACCTCCTGCCTCAGCCTCTTGAGTCTCTGGGATTATAGACATGTACCACCATCCCCAGTGAGAACATATCTTTCAATTCATAAAATTGATGCTGATGAATAATTATTTGAATACAAGAAATTAAAATGACTATATTTTAATAATGATAACACGAAAATGAAAATTATAGTTTGGATTTCTTATCTACATTGAAATGTACCTGAGAAGGTTAAAAAGATACAGCAATGCCAGGCATGGTGGCACACGCCTATAATCCCAGCATCTTGGGAGGCTGAGATAGGAGGATGGAGAGTTCAAAGCCAGCCTCAGCAATTTACCAAGGCCAAGCAACTCAGTGAGACCCTGTCTCTAAATAAAATACAAAATAGGGCTGGGGATGTGGCTCAGTGGTTAAATGGCCCTGAGTTCAATCCTAAGTACCAAAAAAAAAAAAAAAAAGACAGCATGAAATATAATATTAAGGGAGATAAAATATATTTAATATGTCTAAATGTTTATTTTTTAGGTGTTTCAATTATCTACTTAAACTTTTATTTATAAGTCACAATAATTCAAGTTGCTGTTTAAAAGAAAAAAAAGGTAAAAAAAAAAAAAAGGGAAAAACACTGGCAATACCAAGTAATGTTCAGGTTATGAAACAATTAGAGCTCTTAATAACGCTATGTGGAAGTGCAAATTCATACAATCATATTGGAAAAGTAGAAGAACCTATTAAAACTAAGTATCTTCTGAACTAGTAAGTCCTAAGCAAAATGAGTACAATTGAGTTCCAATAGACACACACAGGAGTGCTAAAAGGAGCTCTATTCAAAATAGCCAAAAGCTACAAAAAACCCACATGTCCATTAAAGACAGAATGGAAAAACAAATTATCATATATTCTTACAATAGAAAATTATACATCAATGAAATGCTGCATGCACCATGAATGAATCTCACAGAATGCAGGAAAGCCAAATAGAAGAGTTCTGACAATATGATTACAGAGAGTACCTAACAATCAAACAAATCTATTAAATGTGGTTCTCCATGGCAGGCCGGGGATGTAGCTCAGTAGTACAGAGCTTGTCTAGCATATGTGAGGTCCTGGGTTCCTCCCCAGCACTGCCAAAAGACACCAAAAACAAACAAACAAAACAACAGTGGCTTTCCTTGGTAGTGACTGCAAGGAATAAAAATGAGACTTCTCCAATACTAGTCATGTTGTGTCCTGATCCAGAGGCTGTTACGTGGATGTGTTTGGTTTTAAAATCCATCAAGTTGAACACTGATATTATGTGCACTTGTCTCCATGTCATGTGTACTTTTTAATACTTCAATCCATTCTTTAAGAAATATAAAATTCAAAAACAGGAAAAAATATAAGTCTGGAAGACAGAGAAGTCAAGACAGTGGTTACTACTAAAAAGATAAAGGTTAAGTTGTGACAAGGGTGTGTATAAATGGCTTTTGGAGAGCTAGTACAGTTCTTTTTCTCTTTCTGGGAGGTAAGAAGCTGTGTTCATTTAGGAAAATTCATCAAGTTGTGCTAATATGATTTGTTCAGTTGTTTGTATATTGCACCTCATTTTAAAAATTCATTAAAAACAGAAGAAATGTTAAGTGGCATCGACAAGATGACAGAGTGGGAGCCCTTTTTCTCCCATAGAGAAACCTAACAATATGTGGACCAGAATACCTTAGTGAGAACTCTAGAGCTAGTGGAGAAGCCACACCACCTACACCAATAAAAGTGTGACGGCATTCCTGCAAGAGGGGTAAGAGCATGTGCAGCGTGACGCACACTCATCCAGCCACTATCCCACCCTGAGCAGAGTGGTACAGCTGGGAGGAAACCTCCCCTGCCAGGGAGCTTCCGTCAGGATGGAAAACGAAGAATGGACCACATATCCAGTATTCTGGCTTGTCTGTGAGCTGCCTGAGGCACCATTTTCTATCCTGTTACCCAGAGCACTAATAGACTTATGCAGCAGAATTTGGAAGGGACTAAAACAGGTGGACACCTCAACATTTTAGAGCTGCAAGCAGACATCATGAGGGAGGGGCAAAAGATATGAAAGGTCTGAAAAATCCCAGAACCCCTGGCCAGCCCCTGTGGTAAAGGTCTTGTCTTCCACCCCACAAGCCAGGACATAAACACTGGAAAGGTGGATGGTTTTTCAAATACTCGGATCTCAAAAAAGATCACAAGACATATAGAAGCAAGGAAACAAAACCCAATCAAAGAAACAAAATAAAACTCCAGAAACCCCAAAGTCCTCTAGCAACTCCAGGAAATCCATCACAGATCACCAGTCACAGTGGTACAGTCTATAATGTGGGAGGCAGAGACGGGAGGATGACAAGTTTGAGGCCAACTTGGGTAGCTTAACAAGGTCCAGTCTCAAAACATAAAAAGGGATAGGGATGTAACTCATTGGTTGAGCACCTCAGGGTTCCATTCCCAGTACTGCTAAAAAAAATTAAATCAATAAATATATACATATATATTACATATATATTTTATGTGTAAAATATATATAATATATGTAAAATTTAAAATGGCAAAGGACCTAAATATTACCTAACATGATATACAAATGGCCAATAAGTTTATGAAAGCATATTAAATATCACTAATTATCAGGAATATGCAAAGCAAAACCACAATAAAATATTACTTCCTGCCCATTAGGACTGCTAGCATTTAAAAAAAAAAAAAAAAGAAGAGGAAAACAGCAAGGATAAATCAGAACTATTACATGATATTAAGTAGGACTGTACAATTGTGCAACTACTATAGAAATCTGTATGACAGTTCCTCAATAATTAAAAAATAGAACTTCCGTAGAATCCAGCAATGCTACTTCTGAGTATATGTCCAAAAAAACTGAAAGCAGAATTGCCAAGGGTTTTTACACATCTATAATCATAGCAATATTATTCACAATAGCTAAGAAGTAGAAGTAGACCAAATGCCCATCGACAGATGGTGGATAAATGAAACATGGAAATATACACATACAACAGAATATGATTCAGCTTTGAAAAAGAATAAAATTCTGATGCCTGCTACCATATGGATAAATATTGAGGCATTAATACTAAGTGAAATAAGCTAATCACTAAAAAAATAAAAACTGTATATGACTCCTCTTATGTGAAGTATCCATAAGAGTCAAACTCAGAGACAGAAAATAGAATGGCAGCCAGGTGCAGTGGCTGTAATCCCAGCAGCTCAGGAGGCTGAGGCAGGAGGATCACAAGTTCAAAGGCAGCCTCAGTAGCTTTGCAAGGCCCTCTCTCAAAATTTCAAGAAATTAAAAAAGAGCCAGGGATATAGTTCAGTGGTTGATTGCCCCTATAGAGGTTGATGCCCCTGGGGGATTATTCATGGGAACAGAGTTTCTGTTTTTCAAGATGAAAAACTCCAGAGATCAGTTTCACAACAATGTGAATAAACTTAATACTACTCAACTGTATACTAAAAATGGTTAAGATGGTAAATTTTATGTGCTTTTATGCCACAATAAAAAAGTAAATTGTAGACTAATATCTTTTGTAAACAATACAAAAATCCTTAACAAAATATTGCATCTAATGTTTAAAAATGATTTTAAAAATAGATTATGGAGTTTTGACAGAGGCCAACTGACCTCTACTAGGGGCTCCAGGGAATGTTGGTCTGGTGGCAGCATGGCAGGGACCACAGGGCAGAGAAGGCCACAGAGAAAGCAGCAACTCGCCACCAAGCAAGGAAGAACACCCCAAAGGTTAACTCACTGAGTCTCTTGAGTGACTCCAGGGATACTGCAATGCAGATCCCCTACTCCTAAGGCAGATGATAGATACTTAGAGAAAGAATGGAGATCTGGGGTTGGGGTTGTGGCTCAGTGGTAGAGTGCTTGCCTAGCATGTGTGAGGCACTGGGTTCAATTCTCAGCACCGCAAAAAATAAATAAAATAAAGGTATTGTGTCCAACTACAACTAAAAAATAATCTTAAAAAAATAAAAAGGAAAAAAAAAGCCTGGGGTTGTGGGCAGAGGTAGAGCGCTCACCTAGCATTCGTGAGGCACTGGGTTCAATACTCAGCACCACATAAAAATAAAATGGAGATATTGTGTCCACCTATAACTAAAACATAATTTTTTTTTAAAAAAAAAGGACCATCAACAACTAATAAAAATATTTTTTAAAAAAAGGAGATCTGCACCCTTAAACACACCAGAGCTAAGGGAAAGAAAGAAGGCTGAGCTTCTCTGGGAAGTGCCAATGGGCAGAAAAGAACTATGTGCTCATTCTAAGGACTCAGACCATTCCCACCACAGTTCTCTTCACGTGAGACAGGTAATGGAAATTCTCTTGACCTCAATTTCTTCACCTATAAAATGAAGTGACTGATTCCTGACAGCAATAACATTGCTGAAATAAACATTCAAGACTATGTAAATACCTAAATCCTCATTTCTCCCTCCATCCCCCAAACACTCAACCCACAACACAAGAGAACTTGTTGTATTATCTTACCCTTCCATCCAGCCACTCTAACATACCTGGCGTGGAAGCTTATTTAATGACCTCAGATAGTCTTTGTCCAGAATACAATTTCCAAGCGCATTCCCAAAACTCCTAAAGGGAAGGGGAAAAAAGCAAAACAGGATTGTTACATGTAATTTCAGAGTTAAAACTGTACACAAATCGCTTCTCAATTGTATTAGAGGAAATGGATTCTAATATATACTCAATAAATGGTTTCTGAACAGGCCACATTTGCATACTTGGAGCAGGTTCTGAGAATACAGCAGTGAGTATAACACACAAATCCCTTGAAGAGAGACGGTGAGTATGAAAAGACTAAGAAACCACTCATAAAACCTATGCTTTAAAAGGCTTGATTCCTAGAGTGGTGGTATTAGGAGGTGATGAAATCTTTATAAGTTGGAGCCTATTGGGAGGTTTAAGGTCATTAAAGATTCGTCCTCAAAGGGAATTGTGGGGCACTTGACTTGTCTCTTCTTTATCTGTTTTTTCACATCCCCTCCAAAAAGTGAGTAGGTTGTTCTACCATGCAGTCCCTTCCATGATATGTTGCTTCACCACAGGCCCAAAAGTGACAGGGTCAACTAATACCTGGATTGAAACTCTAAAACTGTAAGCCAAAACAAACCTTTTCCCTCTATAAATTGATTTATCTCAAGTATTTGTTACAGTAACGGCAAGCTGACTAGCACAGTACTCATGGCTAAAAGTTACCATGACATGTTCCTGGGGTGGCAAGGACAAAAAAAGAGAATACAGTATTCTACCATTCTCCAACATGGAAGACCTCAGCAAAAACACTGAGGAAACACAAACCAAAATGAGAAAATAGGATAAACAGGCACAAGGGTAGGAGTAAGATTTATCTTTTCATGTTATTTAGATTTTTGGCCCATGTGAACATGTTACTTTTCCAGGAAACTGCTCTCAAACAAGAGCTGAAATAAGGTCAGTTAGACTCCAACCCCTCCTGCTTACCTGAGTGCTCGCTTGAGCCCATCGGTCACTGCCTCCTTCCTGGCCTTCTCCAAAGACAAGGCCTTTGACTTGAGGCCCTCACTAACACCATAACCCACATCTTCATGATATGAACCATCCTGGGGGTGAAAAAGGAGTTCAAACTCTAACATAAAAAGCTGTAGTCCTGTATATGACTGCCCACCTCTTCTTTTTCTCAAGCAGCAGTGTTCAAACTATGTATATGGAACCCTTGCTGAAGTAGACAGGGCACAGATAGTTCTAAGACATCAATTTCCAGAACTGTTTCCTAGACCAGAAGTGCCTGGAAATGTTAAGGCATCAAGATGATTCTCCCTTCCAAAGCCCGTTACATAAGAAGGCATATTTCTAACTCATCCCAAATCTTTCTAAGTTTCATTACCCTGAAGTATAAAAACTCTGGAATTGTCAAGTGAAAGAATAATTTGAAATTTCGTACCTAATGTAATGAGCTCTGATTTGATAGCAAATCTTTTTTTTTTTTTTTAATATAAGTCAGGTATATCCGTTTCTTGGCTTTTGTCAACAGAAATATAATGCTTAATGACAACACTCTGATTTTCTAAAAATAAATCAGAAAGCACTCAAAGAAATGAGGGACACTATAATAAAATTCCTTCAATTCCCAACTACTTATTTGTGTGAACAAGGTTTATTAGTACTTTTTATAAAAATTAATGGTCAGAATATAAGTGATGATGAACACTCATTCAAGAAATCAGTAATGGGGATGGGGCTGTAACTCAGTGGCAGAGCTCTTGTCTAGCACATGTGAAACACTGTGTTCAATCCTTAGCACCACATGAAAAAATAAACAATAGGGGCTGGGGATATAGCTCGGTTGGTACAGTACTTTCCTCACAAGCACAAGGCCCTGGGTTCGATCCCCACCACCACAAAAATTTTAAAAAATGATAATAATAAACAATAAAAAAAAGGCATGCTGTCCACCTACAACTACAAGAAAAAAAAAAGGAAGAAAGAAAGAAATCAGTAATGCCAGGCACAGTGAAACATGCCTGTAATCCCAGTGACTCGGGAGGCTGGGGCAGGAGGATCACAATTTCAAGGCCATTCTAGGCAACTTAGTCAGACTCTGTCTCAAAATAAAACAAAACAAGCATTGGGATGTACCTGAGTGAAAGAATGTTTGCCTAATATGTGTGAGATCTTGGGTTTAATCCCCAGTACTATTAAAAAAAAAAGTAATATTCAACCATGGTTCTAACTAACTGAAAAATTTAAAAAGCACCATCCATCTTGTTAAGATAGACATTTTCTGTATAAGTTTATTATGTCTTTTTATTAAAATTTTGATACTTATGTTGTCTTTTCAACATAAATACCATTGTCTGATGAATTGTCTTAACAATAACTAATAACCTGATCCAGAAGAAATCTTTAATATTTAAAGCCATAGGTCACTGAAAATTTTTTTAAATATATATTTTTATACGTATATACATGTGCACCAACACCCATAGCACACAGAGGCAAAGAAGTATAATACAATTATCATTAACCTTTCAACCATAAATATATAATAGATAAATCTCAATGGGGAAACAATGAAAATATGAGTTCAAACAAAGAAGGAACAATGTAAGATTTCTGCTGATTAAAGAAATCTTTATGCTTTATGCTGGGCATGGTGGCACACACCTGTAATCCCAGCTACTTGGGAGGCTGAGGTAGAAGGATCGAAAGTTTTAGTGAGACCCTATGTCATAAAAATAAATAAATAAATAAAAAGAGCTGGGGCTGGGACTCAGTGGTACAGTATGTACTTGACTAGTATGTGTCAGGCTCTGGATTTGATCTCCAGCACTAAAAAAAAAAAAAAAAAAAAAAAAATAGCCAGCTTGCACATGTATTTTTTCAAATAAATGATGGCATTCAATCCCCTATGGTATTTAGATTCCACTGTTAGGTTTAAAAAGATATAACAGCGAAGGTACAGTAAAACATGCCTGTAGTCCCCACGACTCAGGAGGCTAATACAGGAGAATCCCAAGTTCCAGGGCCAGCCTTGGCAACTCAGAGAGATCCTGTTTCAAAAAACAGATTTTCAAAAGGGCTGGTAATGTAGGTCAGTGGTACAAGGCACCTGGATTCAGTCCCGGGTACCGAAAAAATAAATAAATATAATTAAAATAGAAAAAAAGATGTGACAGTTTTATCTTAAAATGTCAAATTTTAGAATATGCCAGAAGCCTACCTTTTGTAACTACTTATATATGTGGTAAAAACTCTGAAGAGTCAACTTAAGCTGAAAATGGTAGCACACACCTGTAACCTCAGCTACTTGAGAGGTAGCCTCAGCAACTACAGAGATCCTATTTCAAAATTTGAAAAATAATACCAGTTGGGATGTAGCTCGTGGCAGAGCCCCACTGGGTTCAATCCCCAGTACAGCAAAAAAGGGAAAAAAAAAGTTGTCAACCTAAAAATGTACAAGAAGACAGGACAGTTTTTCTTTTCTTTTGAGGGGGTGGATTTTCAAAATTCTTTGGCAGGTTTGGGGTTGTGGCTCAGTGGTAGGGTGCTTGCCTAGCACATATGAGAGATACTGGGCTCAATTCTAAGCACCACATAAAAATTAAAAAAAAAGAGAATAAAGGTATTGTGTCTATCTACAACTAAAATGTGTGTGTGTGTGTGTGTGTGTGTGTGTATGTGTGTGTGTATGTGTGTAAAATTATAAATTCTTCTGGGGGACACATTAGTAAAAATTTTGAATACCACCACCCCAGGGACACAACCCTGAGCCTGCTCTTCAGCATGGCTGTGTATTGGTCCAGACACTTCCCTCCCTACTCACTCTGACTACCTGCCCCCCAATCCTCCCAGGAAGCAGGTCTGCTCCATCACCCTCACCTTTAACTGCACCCTCACAAATGCACAGACTCCCACGTAGAACTTGCCATTGTTGAGGTCAACAAAATCTAGGAGGGGGAAAGAGAACCAGCTGAAGAGGATCCCTGTGACTCACCCATTTTCCTCTTGCTGGCAACCAAATCCACCTGCCTTACCACACCAAAATAAGCAGACAACACTGCCAGGAAGTATACTCACCCACATTCTGCTGTGTGATGGAGTGTGCCCAGCCATTGTAACCAAACATTTCATTGGCCAGACTAATTACCTTGTGACCTTCAATGTAACACACCTAGAAAAAGAAATTTTAAGGAAAAACTTAAGTTAAAATTTCTTGGCTCTGTGTCTTCTATACAGTACCACTGGTCTACATGTCTGTTTTGGTGCCAATACCATGCTGTTTTTGTTACTACAGCTCTGTAGTACAGTTTAGGGTTTGGTAATATGATGCCTCCTGCTTCACTCTTCTTGCTAAGGATTGCTTTGGCTATCAGTTATCTCATACTAGACAAAGGTGCCCAAAACACACATTGGAGAAAAGATAGCCTCTTCAACAAATGGTGCTAGGAAAACTGGAAATCCACATGCAGCAAAATGAAATAAAACCCCTGTCTCTCACCATGCACAAAACTCTCAATTCAAAGTGGATCAAGGACCTAGGAATTAGACCAGAGACCCTATGCCTAATAGAAGAAAAGTAGGTCAAATCTTCATCATGTCAGATTAAGTCCTGAGTTCCTTTTTTTTTTCTTTTTAAAATATTTTTTAGTTGCAGATGGACACAATATCTTTATTTTTTTAAATATCTTTTTAGTTGTAGTTGAACACAATACCTTCATTTTATTTATTTATTTTTATGTGGTGCTGAGGATCGAACCCAGTGCCTCATATGTGTTAGGCGAGCACTCTACCGCTGAGCCACAACCCCAGCCCATCTTTATTTTTATTTATTTTTTTTATGTGGTTCTGAGGATCGAACCCAGGGCCTCACACATGCAAAGCAAGTGCTCTACCACTATATCCCAGCCCCTAGGTCCTGAGTTCCTTAGCAAGACTCCAAACAATCAGTGAGGTGAAGAGAAAGCCTACAGAATGGGAGCAAATTTTTACCATACATTCATCAGATACAGCACTAATCTCTAGGATATTTAAAGAACTCAAAAACGTTAAAACACACACGCAAAAAAAAAAAAAAAAAGATAATCTAATCAATAAGTGGGCTAAGGAACTGAACAGATACTTCTCAGAAGATAATATACAATTGATCAACAAATATATGAAAAAATGTCCAACATCTCTAGTAATTAGAGAAATGCAAATCAAAACTGCTCCAAGATTTCATCTCACTCCAATCAGAAGGGCAGTTATTAAGAATACAAGAAACAATTAAGTGTTGGCAAGGATATGGGGGAAATGGCACACTCATACACTGCTGGGACTGCAAATTGGTGCAACCAATCTGGAAAGCAGTGTGGAGATTCCTTAGAAAACTTGGAATGGAACCACCATTTGACCCATCTATCCCACTCCTTGGTCTGTAACCCAAAGGACTTAAAATCAGCGTCTACAGTGACACAGCCACGTCAATGTTTATAGCAACACAATTCACAATAGCTAAACTGTGGAACCAATCTAGATGCCCTTCAATAGCTAAATGGATAAAGAAACCGTGGTATATAAACACAATAGAATATAACTCAGCAATAAAAGAGAATAAAATTATGGAATTGGCAGGTAAATGGATGGAGTTGAAGAATACCATGCTAAGCGAGTAAGTCAACCCAAAAAAAACAAAGGCTGAATCTTTTCTCTGATAAGTAGATGCTAATCTATAATGGGGGGGGAGTATGGGATGAGTGGAGGAACTTTGGATTGGACAAAGCAGGGAAGGGGAGGAGAGGGGGCATGAGGATAAGAAAGATGGTGGAATGAAATGAATATCATTACCCTAGGTTCATGTGTGATTGCACAAATGGTGTGACCCTACTTTGTGTATAATCAGAAGTGAAAAATTGTGCTCCACTTGCTTTTTTTTAAATTAATTTATTTATTTTAATTAGGTATATAAGACAGCAGAATGCATTTTGATTCATTGTACACAATTGCAGCACAACTTTACATTTCTACGGTTGTACATGATGTAGCATCACACCATATGTGCAATCACACATGTACCTAGGATAATGATGTTCATCTCATTCCACCATCTTTCCTGCCCCCATGCATCCTTCCTACCCTCCCTCTCCTTTGCCCAATCAAAGTTCCTCCATATTTCCCATGCCTCCTCACTCTCCGTTACCGATCAGCATCTACTACTCAAAGAGAACATCTATTTGTGTACAATGAATCGAAGAGCATTCTGCTCTCATGTATGACCAATTAGAACAAATAAATTTAAAAAATTAATAAAAAAATTTCTTGGCATATTTAATGTAAATAAAAATTTACTTAGTCCTTTTGACTAAACTGTTTAGAGAAATTCTTAATGAATGTATTTCAAAGTCTCTTCCAGTTATAAATAATGGTCTGTCTGAAAGTAGTTACCAGCCTCAGAGGGGAAAGATATCCACTTTCCTAATAGTTTCCAAAACCCACATGTTCAAAAAGGTACAAATCTCAGGTTAACATATTTATGGAAGACCAAAAACATACGTGGCAGTTACTATTAGAGGCTGGGGGTGTAGCTCAGTGGTAGAGCAGCTTGCTTGGTATGCAAGAGGCCCTGGGTTTCATCCCAGTACCACAAAAAGAAGAGGAAGAAGAGGAAAAAGAAGAATTAGTAGTAGCAGCAGCAGCAGCAGTAGTAATAACAGTACTAGTAGTAGCAGTAGTAATAAAATTAGAGGCAAATGACAAAGGGAACATTTTTTAAGGACTTAATAAAAATCTTAACATGGCAGTTATATGTCTCAAGGCAATGCTTGGACCACTTCCTATGACAGTGAAGGCTGGAATCCATCCATCCAAAGGCACTAGGAAACATCCAGTAATAGTGAATAAGAACCTTCTGAATCCATGAGGACCCAAAGGTGGTAAGATCTTCCAGGCATGACGCCTCCCCTACCTTCTGGCCTCCTCCAGCCATGCGGCTACTTATGTATTCCGGGCCCAGCCTCTGCCTCAGAGCACTCTGGATGGCCTGGTACTCTTCTGCTGTGTACTGGCACTACAATCCAGAAGGGGAAACCAGATTTAACATTTCCACCATTCCTCACATCAGTGAGTCTCTTTTGCAGCACCCTTTCCTCTTAAAAAGTACTGAGCACACAAAGTATACATAAATCAAAACATCACATGGTACCACATAAATATGTATAATTTTAATGTATTAGTTAGATTTTTTTTAAAAGTACTGAGGATCCCAGAGTTTTTGTTTATGTGGGTTATACCTATCAATATCAAGAATTAACTTTGAGAAACTTTTAAAGGCACACATTTTATTAGCCATCAAAGCAACGATACCATTACATTATACAGTCTAAAAAACTCCACTGTTCACTCATGAAAGAAGRTATGTGAAAAAGGCAACCAATAATGTTTCATTAATGCTACTATGAAATTAATTTTGACCTCATAAGACTCTGAAAAGGTCCTATGAACCCCCAAGGGTCCCAGAACCAAATTTTGAGAACTAATGAGTTATCAGTTACTGCCACCCTTATTAAACTTTCTCAAGCTTAAATTAGGTTTTTGGGTTTAGAGTTTTGTTTGTTTGCAGTGCTAGGGATGGAACCCAGGGCTATACACAGGCCAGGCCAGTGCTCTACCACTGAGCTATACCCTCAGCCCTCTCCAGCTAAATCAAGAAATGAAACTTCCCACCTCAGAGTCTGTATACGTTTAAGCAGGCAAGGAAGTAAGGAAAAGGAAAAGAGAATAGGAAATCTTACCTCCATTTGCACTCTCCACTTGTAGTTTGGGCTTTTTCCTTTATCTTTCTTTCTGTGTGTGTGTGTGTGTGTGTGTGTGTGTATGTGTTTGTGTGTGTGTGTGTGTGTGTGGTGCTGGGGATCACCAAGGGCTTTGTTGCATGCAAGGCAAGCACTCTATCACTGAGCCACATCCCAGCCCTTTTGCCCTATTTAAATAAAATAAATATTTACCAATAAACTCTAGTAAAAAGATAATTTGGGTGGACAAAGAAAGATTCTCTTTTCCATGCATAGAATAAGACGTGACTCCAATAATTTTGGATGTCTTCAAGAAAGCCAATTCAGTGACATACAGACAGGAGTAATGGGGAAGTTGAGAGACTTTCCACATACAATCTTTGCTTCATTTTAAATTTTATGTCATATTAATATGACAAAAATCCCTTTATCACATGAATGAATAAATATACATCTAAAGTATGTCTTTTATCTTTCAATGGGAAAATGCCAAAATGTACTCACAATTCAGCAAAAACCCCTAAGTAGGCCTTCTAAAGGAGAAACCAGGTATGTTGCTCAGTGATAGAACACTTGCCTAGCATAGGCAAGGCCCTGGATTCAATTCCCAGGACAAAAAAGGGTGGGGGGGTGCCAATTACAGTAAGAGCTTATGCATACATATCATTTCACTATAACTTTTCTAACTTAACCTCAGTCTATCCACAGATGAAAAAAAACACCATTACCTGTCCAAAGCACAATACAGAGTTGCCACCAGCAGGAAGATGGCTGTCATGCCCTCCATGATTTGTTTCCTCGGTCGCAGACATGTTGATTCTGGTTAGCTTCTATATAAATAAAAGATTAAAAAAAAAAAGTGGATTTCAAAGAATGCTTAAGATAAAAGGCAAGAAACTCTACTAAAAATCAGATAAAAACCCCATGTGTGATATCTCTGAGTTGCTTTATTTATGTGCTTCAAACACTGCTCCAATAAAAGACAAGTTTCCTCAGTGATTAGCTATGATCTGCCAAGCCACTGAAAATCCTTTAGAGTCTACTTCTACCTTTTTGTTAACATTTTTCTCTTCTAGTGATGCTATTAAAAGTGTTCTTTACAACAGGAATATATTACATTTACAACTGAAAAATCAGCAGGTGTAGTGGTAGAAGGATCACAAGTTCAAAGCCAGCCTCAGCAATTTAACAAGACCCTAAGCAATTTAGTGAGACCTTATCTCAAAATAAAACATAAAAAGGGTTGGGAATGTGGTTCAGTGGTTAAGTGCCCCGGGGCTTAATCCTTAGTACCAAACCAAAAAAAAGAAAAAAAGAAAAAATCAAATTTACACAAACACTTTCTAAGGGAACGCAAAAAATCAACTATGTATCTCATAAATTTCTAGTTATGGGTAAATTAAATTTTTAAATACTTTAAAAGAAAGAGGGAATAAGAATATTGTTTACAATGTCAATATAATAAATGCCACGTTGTCTCAGAGGCATGGGACTGGGGTGGGGAACAGTATAGGAGGGGTCTCTACAAAATAAAACTTTTGATAGTATTTCAGTGTTCACATATGTGCATGTATTATTTTAATAAAAACTTAAAATAGCCAGGCACAGTGGTGCATGCCTGTAATCCCAGCAGCTCAAGAGGCTGAGGCAGGAGGATCTGGAGCTCAAAGCCAGCTTCAGCAAAAGTGAGGTACTAAGCAACTCAGTGAGACCCCATTTCTATGTAAAATACAAAAAATGGGGCTGGGGATATGGCTCAGAGGTGGAGTCCCTGAGTTCAATTCCCAGTACTCCTCCCCCAAAAAATTTTAAATATCTATTCTATAAAGCAGAAGTCAACAAAACTTTTTCTATAGTGGGCCTCACAGTAAATATTTTAGATTTTCTGGCAATGTACTCTGTCACAGGTACTCAACTCTGGCATTTTAAGTGTGAAAGCAGCCAGGGCTGGGGATGTGGCTCAAGCGGTAGCACGATCGCCTGGCATGCATGCGGCCCAGGTTCGATCCTCAGCACCACATACAAACAAAGATGTTGTGTCCGCCGAAAACTAAAAAATAAATATTAAAAAATTCTCTCTCTCTTTAAAAAAAAAAGAAATAAAAGAATCATGTCATAATGCTATATTTAAATATATTTTTTTTTTAAAAAGTGTGAAAGCTGCCAAAGACGATACATAAATGAATGGGCATGGTTGTATTCTATTAAAATTTTATTTAAAAAAACAAAAGGCAGATTTGCCCACAGGCCATGAGATGCCAACCACTGGTATAAAGCATGCTTCAAAGTGTAGAGTCAGATATGTTAAACAGCCAGCTCCATCAGGTAAGCTATGTAAATTGGGGAATAATTTAACCTCTATCTGCCCCAATTTCATCTGTAAAAGGAAATATTAATAAGACCCTCCTAAGTTGACTACACTAAAATGATATGATAATAGCTTACAAGAGTAATTTTCTATGGATACTAAATAGTTGTTGGACAAGAGGATAAGCACAAAGTTTCAAATGAACTGTTATCTGTTACAAACAAAGATACACACTTAGTATATGTACTTAATGCCACTGAACTGTGTACTTAAAAATGTTTAAAATAGAAAATTTTATGTTATGCATATTTTACCACAATAAAGGTATAAAATTTATCTCAGTCAGGCCAGGTCTGATGCAGCATAGTAGCCTTGCCCATCTTATAGCTGTGTCATCTAGCATATGTGGCCTCCAAGGTTATCACTGAAGGGGTAGAGAGAGTTGGAGGAGTCACAACAGATCACAGCTGCCAAAGTCCGAAAGTGGCATGGATCTCTTCTGGTCACAGTACACTGAAGAAAACCTGTCACATACAAAGCCCCAACTTAACTGCAATGGAGGTTGGGAAATGTAAGAAAGCATTTGAATATTTGATGAATATTATCTCACAATCCATTGCCCCTGACTTCAAAATGAATCCCAAGAAGACAGGGAATCTTATTCTTCTTTACCAGTGACTAGCAGAGATCCTGGCTCAAGGCAGGGAGTCAAGAAGTGTTTGGTAACAGCTGTTGTCTAAGTAAATGAACGAATGCCTAAATCAATGAAAAAATGAACAATGCAGGATATAAAAAGTACATTTTTAAATTGTTTAAAAACTAATTTTAAGAGTTACATTTTTCACATTTGAAAAGACAGTTGTTTCTACTTTTCTAAACAATCTTAAAAGATTCATCCTTTTCTTGAAGAAAAATACAATCTTATCCCTACCATAAAGTAAACATGGTATCTTTTCTTTTTTTGCTAACTTCTTTTACTTCGAAAAAAATTTTGTTTTGCCTTCCTTCCTAAAATTGTCCTTARCCATTTTCTCTTTATAAAATTAAAATATCTTTACTGTAAAAAGGTTTAAAAACTTATCGATGACTATGGGAGAAAGTCAAATTCCAAGGGATCCCACCACCATGTGATAGCTGTTATTTTCTTTTACATGTGACTGGGTATTGTATGTGTATGTGGGTACATATTTGTTAAATACAAATGGAATCTAAATACATCAGACATTTTTTATGCAACATCTCAAATCTTCTTTGGCCTTGCCAATTTTGAGGCTATTGTCATGTTCTTCACCCCAGGTGTCATGGACTGACAAAATATATATAGGTCTAACCTCCAGTACACAGGCACAATCCTGCAATCTTTTACTTCCTTCGTGCTGGATGCCTCTCACTTCCCACCTTTGGCTTCCCTCTTGCCTTTGAGGAAGCCTATGAGATCCCACCTGATACCCACCTACACACAATTTGGATGCTCCAGGGAGTTAATGTACCATGAGACAAAGCTTTCTCCAATGACATACAGAAGCTGAGGGGTAAATTCTCTTGGTGTATTGTCCTGGATGCAGTACTTTATACATCCTCCTGGGAGACAGCTTTAGGAGGTCAAGCAATCAGTTGTACTTGTTACCAAGGGGTGGCCAACTTGGAAATGCACCCTTGAGTTGACTTAAACTTGCTTCTCTCTTCACTCTCCTTTCCCGCCACCTCTGCTTCCTGACAAAAATAAGAGCACATAAATTTTTGCCTCAAGCTCTAGGTTCTAGGTTATCACAGCAGACACTATAGACACTCAAACTGTCCCTTCAGCTCTTACCACTCTGGCCTGACTTCTAAATGCCAACATCTGCATCTCTTTAACTGAGAGTTTTCCTTGGCATCCACAACCTATATTTTCCCCATGTTCATGGCAACTTAGAAGTGCCTGAAAGTTGATTCCCCTTGTCAGCAGCCCTCAAACTATGACTGACAGGTACTGGTGTTCAAATACCCTAAGTTTCTTATCCTTTCTGTAGGATGACACTGAGCCACGACCTCTATTAGCTCCAAAGTTCCCCAGTGGAATTGGGTGTGGTTAGAACTGGCTTGATACCTTATCTTTTGCTGACTGTCTTTCTGTTCCTATCTTATGTTCTCTTTCCTCTATCAAGAGTGTGCTGGTGTCATCTTCAAATAAACTACTGTTCTTGCAGGTAAAGAAGGAGGGGGGTAAAAGACTCTTTTTTACAATGGAGAAATCTGGCAGACATCACCTCAATTAAGTATTCAAACTTAATATAACTAATAATAGTCATATCATGTGCTTCCGGGTAGATTCTCTGAAAGGTCACATCACTTAGACATCAATCTAATTCACAGCTCTACCAATCTAATCACTCAATCAGAAAATAATTAAACATGCTGAGGATGTAGCTCAGTGGTAGAGGGCTTAAGTTCAATTCCCAGGAATGGGGGAAAAAAAAAAGGACATGGATGACATGTCAACAGAGCAGTGCAGTATAAATTTCATATGGTACTGACATAAGGATTAACCAATAGGACAAAAGAGAGCCCAGAAATTAAGCACCATTTAAATTGTCATCTTAACTTCAAAAATGCAATATAACAGCATTTTTGATAAGTGCTGCTAAAATAACTAAACATCTGTAAAGAAAAATTTTAACGTTGTCATACCCCATAATATTCACAAAACCTACTGATGGCACATATATCTAAACATAAAAGCTAAAACTATAATTTTAAAAGAATATATTCACAAACTGAAAGTGGTCAAGATTTCTTAGAAAACAAAAAGCTCTAACTATAAAAGAAAAGCAGGTTGCAGGATAGCTTGGTAGCACAGTTTGTGCATAGCATGCATGAGGCCCTGGGTTCATCCCTAGCACCCAGAAGAAAAAAGAAAGAAAATAATAAATTGACTACATCAAAATGTAAAACTTCTGTTTATCTAAGGAAATGGGTAGATAACTACTAACAAAGGACTGATATCAGGATAAGAAAGACATATAAAGAATTCTAATGACTCAGTTAAAAAAAAAAAAAAAAGACAACCAATTTCAAAGTGAGCAAAAGATTTAGGGGCTGGGATTGTGTCTCAGCAGTAGAGTGCTTGCCTCACACATGCAAGGCCCTGGGTTTGATCCTCAGCACCACATAAAAATAAATAAATAAAATAAGTGTACTGTGTCCAACTGCAATAATAATAATAATAATAATAATAATAATAATAATATTTTTTTAAAAATTTAAGTAGGGGCTGGAGATGTGGCTCAAGCGGTAGAGCGCTCGCCTGGCATGCGTGCGCCCCGGGTTCGATCCTCAGCACCACATACCAACAAAGATGTTGTGTCCGCAGAGAACTAAAAAATAAATATTAAAAAAAAAAAAAGATGTTGTGTCTGCCAAATACTAAAAAATAAATATTAAAATTCTCTCTCTCTTCCTTGATGAGAAGAATGAGACATTGAGTTTCTTTCTTATAGTTTAATGTATGTTCATACTGCCGTAACATTGTAATGTTATGTTCATACTGCAACAGAACAGAAAATTTTTTAAGTTAAAAGAAAGAAATCTCAAAGGTTCTCAAAGGTCATTTCTTGCTTGAAGGCTTATGCATCTCAGCACACTCTAAAGAGAATTAATACTATGTTTCCATAGCATTTCAGATGTATTTCAAAGCATATACCACACTATAATTACATCTTTGCTGTACTAGCACACTCACCCATTTAAGAACAGAGGGATCATATACTAATCACTGAATCCCCAACAATTAGCACAATCACCACACCCCACACACAGAAGGAAAAGCATTCTATTTTAGCTTCTCTCCAACACTACTTAAACAGAATTAAAAATGAATGCCTTGAATAGAAAAAACAGTTAAAGTTATAGAAACTTAAAAATACCAACACTAGATTTTCTGCTCATCAATAATTAAACTGGTTATTCTGTCAATTCTCATTATTCACAGTACTTATGTTCTAAACAGCCACCATGAACACTAAATTAGTAAATACTAAACCAATTCTCCAAGGAAAAATAGAGTTGCTCAACATGTCAATAAATAACTGCTTTAGGTGTTTCTGTTTAAAGACACCTTATTTAATATATATCATTAATACTGAACTCACAGTCAATATCAATACAACCCATGCCTGATAAATTTGTCTGAAAGAAACTTATCTTTTCCCTGTAAAGCACATYACGGCCTTCTTGCACTTAAGAATGCCAGACAGCACTCCAGCACTATGCTTGGAAACCATTTTAAAAATGTGAAACCAAGCTGGGCTCGGTGGCACACATCTGTAATCCTAGCAACTCAGGAGGCTGAGGCAGGAGGATCATGAGTTCAAAGCTAGCCTCAGCAACTTAGCAAGGACCTGTCTCTAAATAAAATACAAAAAAAGGGCTGGGAATGTGGCTCAGTGGTAAAGTGCCCCTGGGTTCAATCCCTGGTGCAAAAAAAAAAAAAAAGTGAAACCAAGCCAGACATGATGATGTATGCCTATGCCTATAATCTCAAGTACATGGGAGGCGGAGGTAGGCAGATCACAAGATCCAGGCCAGCTTCAGCAAAAAAAAAAAAAAAAAAAAAAAAAGCGGGGCTAGGGATGTAGCCCAGTGATAAAACACCACTGGGTTCAATTCACCTTACCAAAAAAAAAAGTGGGGGGTGGGCACAAAAATCAAAAATCCAACAAACAGGTTACTAAGTATACCACCAAAGGACACTTAGGAAAGCTTCATCTTGTTTGACCTTAGCTGAGAATATGTGCATTAGGCAACTCAGATTTTTAACAACTCTGCACACTTTAGGAAAGCATCAAGAGTACTACCAATTGAGGATTACAAATAAATGTCAAGAAGTAGATAAATTCACAAATACAGAATCCATGAGTAATGAAGACTGACTAGTTATTTTTAGTAAAATCTCTCCCATTGCTAGATGAATTAGGCTTTTCATATGCTCATCTCTTAACTACACCAGTTTATATTGGATGTGAAAGTGCCATGAAGCTTACATTGCATATATAATACTGGGTGTAGTCAGAAATTAGCGATGGGATAACATACCTGGGATAACAGTGTCTCAGCATACATTACACAACAGCAGTTTCTGACAGTTTCTGCCACCTTCAGAAGACATGCCACAAATACATCTCTACTTGTTATCAATATTATTAATAGTCTGATAGGTGATGAACTGGGGAATATAAGGCTTTTAAAAAAACAAACTGCTCTAAAAGATACAAACCTGTGGCCACTGAAATGCCTGATCCAAAACCAGAGTCAAACGATGGTTTTTGAGAACTTAAGCTTAAAATGTTTGTGCCTGCGAATGCTAGTTCTGTGGGGGAATTAAAGACCTTAAAAGTCTATGAAACCACCAATGTCCATCAACTAAGGGAGAAACAAAATGTGGTATATCCCTACAACTGATTATTAGTTCATAAAAAAAGAATGAAGTCCTGATACATGCAAAATACAAAAAGTATTGAAAATATGCTACAAGAAATAAACCATACAGGAAAAAACAAATCTGGTATGATTCCATATATATACACACACATATATATATATATGCGTGTGTGTGTATATATATGTGTGTGTATGTATATGTGTATGTGTGTGTGTATGTGTGTGTGTGTGTGTGTGTGTATGTATATATATATGGCTGGTAATATCATAGACAAGAATTGTAGAAGGATGATGTGAAATCAAACCAGACACAGTGATGCATGCCTGTAATCTCAGGTACGTCTCTGCTAACTAGCTTCTAGGTTTCTTTTTGAGTGATGAGAATGTTCTGTAATAAGAATACGGTGATGGTTGCACTACCTTGAGCATATACTAAAAACTACAGAATTGTACACTTTAAGCGCATATGTAATGAATCGTGTCTCAATTTTTTTTTCAAGATCTAGAAAGGCTGAATACATTGCTAAACTAAATGTCAAAAATTCCCTTTAAATCCACCATTCCTTCCCAACTTCCACCTACTTCTAACTCCATTCGGATACTGACACTCCTGTCAACAAACCGCATTTACAATGTCTCGAGCTGCGCAGGGAACTCCACAAGATCCGAACGCAGCCTTCCACCCTGGGGTTCTGGCGCACGTGATTCGTGAGTCAGGGTCCTCCTAACCAAACTGTCGAGAAGCCCAGATCCCCGAGCCCTCCGGACGGCACTAACCAATGAGATAGGCCTAGCCATTCAGCGTCTCTAGTAGGAAACTCAGGACAAATGCAACAGCCTCCCCAAGAGCTCCAATCCGAATCTGAGCGGTCCTACGCTCTACAATCCCCGGGCGGAACCACCCGGGGGAGAGCCGCCCCCACCCCCCCACCCCCAACACTTCCTCACTTCCCCACTTACGCGCCTCGGGCAGCGCGCGGTGCACCCGGGGAACTTGGTCTGGACTATAAGCAAAAGGAAAGAAGGTGGGACAAGCTGGCAAAGGAGACTGGGAAAGAGTTGCAAGGGACCCTGGGAAGAAGGTTCAGACTCTAGAGGAGCCCTTGTCGAGTTTGGCGAAGAAGACTGAAGGAGGAGGAGCCGTAAGTCAAGTCGGAAAGACAAAAGAGCCGTAAAGCAACCGGTCGGATGCCGTAAAACAAGTTGGGCGCGCAGTGCGGATCCCGGCGTTCAGCGTGGGCTTGGCTCTCCAGTCTTTCCGCTTACTCTTGTCTCCAACTTCCCTGACGCTTCTTCTGGGTCTGCGGCCACCTCGCAGTACCTGTCGTTGCACTCTTGGGATATTGCAGGAAAAGGAAACAGGACTTTTCTAAGAATGGTTATCGGAACCCTCCAGAGAATCCGCCGCGGGCAGGCACAGTAAATTGAGGCGGTGGGTACACATTTGTTCACCAAGGAAGTCTTCTTGCCCGGTCCCTGCCGCAGACGCCCGGTGCTCACCTGATGGCCTCTTAAATTAAGGAGAACCAGAGGGGAATGACTCTGTGGCCACTTGAGGGAGTGGAGGTCTTCTTTAGGCTATCCCCGGACCTTCACCTTGGAATGAATGACGATTACACATCCTATTAGCAGTGCTCCAAAACGTTTTGAAAAGTTTAGTCGTCAGAACCTGAAGTTAAGTGCAGACGGCTTAGGATACTTGGGGGGCTTACAGTGGGGTAACGTCCCCATCGTAAATCCAGGAGCATCTGTTCTGAGAACTGAATTTTTTTTTCTTTTTTCCTTCAGAATTGAACCCTGGCGCGCTTAACCACTGAGCCACATCCTCAGCCCTTTTTTATATTTTATTAAGAGAGAGGATCACGTTAAATTGCTGAGGCTGGTTTTGCACTCAAGATCCTCCTGTTGGGCTGGGGATGTGGCTCAGGCGGTAGCGCGCTCGCCTGGCATGCGTGCGGCCCGGGTTCGATCCTCAGCACCACATACCAACAAAGATGTTGTGTCCGCCGAGAACTAAAAAATAAATATTTAAAAAAAAAAAAAAAAAAAAAAAGATCCTCCCAAACCGCTAGGATTACAGACCTGGGCTACCGCACCAGGCAAAACTTTTCAAAAAGACATGTATCTGTCTGGGCAGTAAGTCACCAGAGTCTTTTTCTGGGTGGCTACTCATTCTTCCAAGTAACACCATGTAATGTTGGCTAAAAAGTCTCAAATCAGAACCAATGAATAACTTACAGTTTGTTAGAAGGAATTTCATATCAACTGAGATAGAAATGTTGATTTTTAAATTAGTTAACCACTTAGGGAGAAAAGTTAGTTTTGTCTTTGTTCTGTGTTTATTTTTGTTCTCTTGCTTTGGATTTTTCTGGCCTCATTATGTGGCCTAGGTTGGTCTAGAACTTACGGTCTCAAGATATCCACCTGCCTCAGCCTCCCAGTATCTGGAATTACAGGCATGTGCCACTGCACCCCAACTTTAAATCTTGTCAAAGTGTACACCAAAGTAATTACAGTGGAATTCAAGGGTGAAATGTTAAACACAGGTACACATAAAACACGATTAAAAACGTATAGTCAAATAAACTGTTAAAAGGTAAACAAGAGATCAGGGGTAGAGTACTAGGCTAGCATGCATAGGGCTCTGGGTTCTATTCCCAGCACTGCAAAGAAGAAAGAAGGGAAATACTACTATTATATATATATATACACAAAGGTTCATATGTAAAAAGTACAAACAATAAGAAAAATGAGTCAATATTTCACAAAAGGAGATACATAATAAATACAAAAAATGTAACTTTAATTAAGGTAAAAGGCATATGGGCTGGGGATATAGTTCAGTTGGTAGAGTGCTTGCCTTGCATTCACAAAGCCCTGGGTTTAGTCCCCACCCAGCATCACACACACACAAAAATCATACATATTAAAACAAGAATATCACGGCTGGAAGTGTAGCCCAATGATAGATTGCTTGTAGTAAGCCCCAGGTTCAGTCCCTAGCACCACACAATAAAAGAAAGAAGAGGCCTGGGGTTGTGTCTCAGTGGTATAGCACTTGCCTTGTGCTTGTGAGGCACTGGGTTCAATCCTCAGCACCTCATAAAAGTAAATAAATAAAGGTATTATGTTCACTTACAGCTAAAAAGAAAAACAAATGCATGTGTATACATATACACGTATATATGTATACACACGTATATAGGTATTCCACTTATTAAATAAAGAAATTGAAATATTTATGTCTACACAAGTTTTACATGAATACCGTCCTATTGAAAATTTAAGTAATAAAGATAAATCAAAATTTTTACTTGCGCACTCATGCATCAAAGCAATCTGATTCTCATCGATTAGCTATTGTTATCAGTTGATGTCTATTTTTTATGACCTTTCCTGTGCTTTTATGATTAGACATTGAAATTTATTTCTCTGGTAATATTCAGCATTGATATTTTCACACTGCCAGTGGGAATATGAATCAGTGCAACTTTTTAAGTTATAATTTGGCAAGATATGTTTAAAATATGAAAGTGTGACTGTGGTGCATACCTGTAAACTCAGCCATTTGGGAGGCTGAGGCAGGAGGATTGCAAATTTGAGGCCAGCCTGAGCAACTTAATGAGACCCTATCTCAAAATAAAAAAATAAAAGGCCTGGGGATATAACTTAGTGGTAGAATATTCATTCTCTCTGGAATTCCTTTAGGACAAAGATTTCTTTTTCTTTTTATATATTTATTTATTTTATTGTACTGAACCCAGGGGCACTCTACACTGAGCTACATGCAACCCTTTGTATTTTTTATTTGAGAGAGGTCTTCCTAAGTTGCCCAGGCTGGTCTTGAACTTAGAATCCTCCTGCTTCAGTCTCCCAAGGAGCTGGGAATATAGGTGTGTACCACCTCTCCAGGCAAAAGATTTCTTCATAAAACTGTTCTGCACATTATTTATACCCTGAAAATGTACTCAAAACAAATTACTGCAATGTCAAATTAGTTTAATATTCAGCTAAATAAAATAATGTTTAGAAGAATGTTTATTGACAGAAAAATGTTCAGGATCATTTTACGTGAAATAGGCACTACTAAGATGGCTATTATTATAGTAAGCAATTGAACCCAAGGACATTTAACCACATTCCCAGCCCATTTTTTTTCATTTGTTCTAATTAGTTATAAATGATAACAGAATGCACTTCGATTCATTGTACACAAATGGAGCACAACTTCTTATTTCTCTGGTTGTACATTTCCCTGGTTCTCTGGTTCTACACACCATTTGTGCAATCATACATGTACCTAGGGTAACGTAGTGATGACCATCTCATTCCACTATCTTTCCTACCCCCATGTCTCCTCCTCTCCCCACCTTCCCAAAGTTCCTCCAATCTCCGCCCCCCACCCCTCATTATGGATCAGCATCTACTTATCAGGGAGAACATTTGGACTTTGATTTTTTGGGATTTGCTTATTTTGCTTAGCATGATATTCTCCAATTCCATCCATTTACCTGCAAATGCCATAATTTTATTCTCTTTTATTGCTAAATAATATTCCATTGTGTATATATACCACAGCTTCTTTATCCATTCATCTATTGAAGGGCATCCAGGTTGCTCCCTCAGTTTAGCTATTGTGCATTGAGCTGCTATAAACATTGATGTGGTTGCATTACTATAGTGTGCTGATTTTAAGTCCTTTGGGTTATAGACCAAGGAGTGGAATAGATGGGTCAAATGGTGGTTCCATTCCAAGTTTTCTAAGGAATCTCCACACTGCTTTCCAGATTGGTTGCACCAATTTGCAGTCCCTCATACATCCTTGCCAACATTTACTGTTGCTTGTGTTCTTGATAACTGTCATTCTGACTGAAGTGAGATGAAATCTTAGAGTAGTTTTGATTTGCATTTCTCTAATTACTAGAGATGTTGAACTATTTTTTATATTTTGTTGATCAGTTGTTTATCTTCTTCTGAGAAGTGTCTATTCAGTTCCTTAGCCCATTTGTTGATTGGGTATCAGTTTTTTTTGGTGTTAAAGTTTTTTTAGTTCTTTATATATCTGGAGATTAGTGCTCTATCTGACATATGTGTAGTAAAAATTTACTCCTACTCTGTAGGCTCTCTCTTCACTTTGATTGTTTCTTTTACTGAGAAGAAGCTTTTTAGTTTGAATCCATCCCATTGATTGATTCTTTTTTTTTTTAGAGAGAGAGAGAGAATTTTTTAATATTTATTTTTTAGTTTTCGGTGGACACAACATCTTTATTTTATTTTTATGTGGTGCTGAGGATCGAACCCAGCACCCCGCACATGCTAGGCAAGTGTACTACCGCTTGAGCACATCCCCAGCCCCAATTGATTCTTGATGTTATTTCTTGCGCTCTAGGAGAGTCGAGACCTAATCTGATGTGATGATGATTTGGGCCTGTTTTTTTCTTCTACTAGGTTCAGGGTCTCTAGACTAATTCTAGGCCCTTGATCCACTTTGAGTTGAGTTTTGTGCAGGGTGAGAGATGGGGGTTTAATTTCATTTTGCTATATGGATTTCCAATTTTCCTAGCACCATTTGTTGAAGATGCTATATTTTCTCCAATGTATATTTATGACACTGCTGTCTAGTATGAGATAACTAGATTTATGTGGATTTGTCTATGTGTCTTCTATTCTGTATCATTGGTCTATATGTCTATTTTGGTGCCAATACCATGCCTTTTTTGTTACTATAGCTTTGTAATATAGTTTAAGGTCTGGTATTGTGAGGCCTCCTGCTTCACTTTTCTTGCTGAGTATTGCTTTGGCTATTCTGGGTCTCTTATTTTTCCAAATGAATTTCATGATTTCTTTTCTATTTCTATGAGAAATGTTATTGGGATTTTAATTGGAATTGCATTGAAATCTGATTAGCACTTTTGGTAAATTTTGTTTAGCATGATATTCTCGCAAATTTGAAGCCAGCTCAACAGTGGCCATTTTGAAAATATTAATTCTCCCTATCCAAGACCATGGGAGATCTTTTCATCTTCTAAGGTCTTTTTAAATTTCATTCTTTAGTATCTGTACTTTTCATTGTAGAAGTCTTTCACATCTTTTGTTAATTCCCAAGTATTTTTTTTTAGGCTATTATGA